CTGCAGTGCAGGTGAAAACAGATAATGCCTCCATGAGTACATTTCGAATCGACCTGCATTTGTTATCGTGCATTAAGAATTCAGGGCCAAGCGTGAAATGCAAGAGGGGTAATTAGGGATAACGACGTGGCGTACCTGAGTGAGAGAACAGATAAAACACACTGACAAAAACATCATCCAGCAGCTAAATCCAATGTGGCTGAAGCGAAATAGGTTTGTGAAGAAGTCAACAAAGTGCTTCATAAGATCAGGGACAAGGTTATTCACACGCTGGGAGTCCTTCTCGTCGGTGATGTTTGCTTTCAAAGACGCAGTTGAAGTGTGAAGAAGGAGGTTCGTCAACATCTGTTTACAGAGATCTGCTCTTGTTGTTCTTACTGACATTTTCAGTCTTTGAACACACAAGGTCTAAAATCGGGGTTTGTTGGTGTTGTGATGCACGCCTGTGTCTTCCCATGGAGTAAAAAAACACAGAAAAATAAATGTTTTCTGCAAGCTTGACGTTTCTGTTTAAGTGGACACAGCAGTGATGTTCTGTTTACCAAAGCCAATGACGCGCCGGCGGTGCACCGACTGTGAATAAATTCATTCTGAAGTTAACATAATGAAAGTGTTGGCGCTCAATTTTCTCCCCGTTTCTGCTGCAGCAGCAGATGAGAGTGAGGTCTCTGGGATGGCGTGGGAGTTCGCTATCTCCCAGCCTCCAGATGGCTCCGTCTCCTCTTATCTAGAAGAATGGGTGCCGCCTCAATTTTTCAACTCGCCCTTATCTGGGAATCCTTTAAATAGAATATTTACTGGGCCTATGTTTTCTGCCGCGTTAGCCCTCAGAAGTGCACATTCCTCCTGCTTGTTCAGACAGGGCAAAAGGTTTTTCTCACTCACACACTTCCTTTGTCTGCCTTGTCAAGTAATGGGACAGTGATTGATTATGTGATTGCCTGGAGAGAATGGAAGGTTAGGCAGTAAGGCGGAGAGCGGAGGGGACGCCACAAACGGCCAAAGAGGGAATAAGATGAACACTAGAGGAACGTGCATTAGCCAAACATGACACTGGCCACCTCTGTTTCACGTCAGGGTAAAATAAAATAAATGAATCATTTTCTGAACGGTCTATTGTTTTCTGTACAGCGTTCACAAGAGGATAAGAGAACCCTTAAGCAGCCACTGAAAACATCTTATTGCCATTTGACTGGCTGCGTTCTATCTGCATAAACAAGCTGTGCCCCAGCTACTCCCTGGTAAGTGTCTGGAAACGTCTTTTCAAAGCCATTTTGTGAAATGTCTCCATGTTGGACTAATCAGTGCAGCTGAGGATGTAATTGCAGCGCTGAAGTCAAAGCTGTAAGAACAGATAATGAACACTAACTTCAGGGCTGCCAGAACCCAGGAAGAAAAAAAAGACAAGTTTTCAGACCAAAATGCTCCAACACTTCCTCGTGAAGCGTCAGAGGAAAGGAAACTCCGTTTTTAGAAGAAATACCTGTTAAAGAAAGATTCAGTGGTTCACATGGAAATGGGATGAAATGGCATGGCTGCTGTGTGCAGTTCACATTAAAAGGGAAGCAGAAATTAACAGTTGGGACCTTTTCTAAGATTTTGAAGTAATGTTTTCCCTTTTGAGAAGTTTGCAACTTGATGTAAATTTGTGTAAATTCTTCCTTTTCTAAATATAACACCTGTGCTGACAGAGAATCCCAACCAGAGCAACTGCTGCCCTCTAGTGAAGAGACGCCTCGCATTTTGGATGATTTTATTACTGAAAGGGTCAAAAACAAAAGTGTCACAACGACGTTTCATAAAGTGTTGTTTCAGTTTGCTCAGAGACTGGTCAAGCATGCAAATTATAAAAACAACTTATTTAAAATGATTGTGTTTTTATTAGGATTGTTGGCATTGTTTCTGCAATTCTGCCAAGTCAGCAGGTGTGTTTTCATAGTAAACAGCTCAAAGTCAGGTTTGTGTGTGATTTCTAAAACAGTTTGTGTGTCTTGCTGTCTAAAAACAATCAGCCAAGCATCAGAGTAATCAAATATTTCAAACTTCTGTATTTCCACCTGGTAACTGTGGTTACTGTCTCCTTCCCTTCCATATTTGGTCAATCTTCCTTCTGGTAAAATTATTCTTTATCCCGTGTAATAAATAACGTTCCATCTAACTTTGGAAAACTCAAAAGCCTTCATGAATGATTTCATTTTATTGTGTGTGTGTGTGTGTGTGTGTGTGTGTGTGTGTGTGTGTGTGTGTGTGTGTGTGTGTGATTGGCTGGTTGTGTAACATCTCAGCTCATTTACCTTTTAGTGTTTTTCTCTGCAGGTATAAGTTGAGTCTTGTCTCAACAAGTGTAGGCGTTTAAAGCAAATTACTGCGAGAAAAGAAAATGTGGAAATGCATAACTATGACGTAGAATGCAACTGGTGATATTCTTGATTATTCTTATTATTTTAATTGCATATGAAAATAGATGGATAGATTTTTATATATCCATCCATCCATCCATCCATCCATCCTTCTATCCATTTTCACCCGCTTATCCGGAGTCGGGTCGAGGGGGAAGCAGTCTAAGGTGAGAGGCCCAGACTTCCCTCTCCCCAGCCACTTGGGCCAGCTCCTCCGGGGGGAATCCCAAGGTGTTCCCTGGCCAGGTGAGAGACATATTCCCTCCACCGTGTCCTGGGTCTACCTTTAGGTCTCCTCCCAGTTGGACGTGCCCGGAAAACCTCACCAGGGAGGCGTCCAGGAGGCATCCTGACCAGATGCCCGAGCCACCTCAACTGGCTCCTCTCGATGTGGAGGAGCAGCGGGTCTACTCCGAGCCCCTCCCGGATGACCGAGCTTCTCACCCTATCTCTAAGGGAGAGCCCAGACACCCTGTGGAGAAAAATCATTTTGGCCGCTTGTATCCACTATCTCGTTCTTTCGGTCACTACCCAAAGCTCATGACCAAAGGTGAGGGTAGGAACGTAGATTGACCGGTAAATCGAGAACTTCGCCTTCTGACTCAGCTCTCCCTTCACCACGACAGACCGGTACAACGCCCGCATCACTGCAGACGCAGCACTTATCCGCCTACCGATCTCACGCTCCAGCTTTCCCTCACTCGTGAACAAGACCCCGAGATACTTAAACTCCTCCACTTGGGGCAGGACCTCATCCCTGACCCGGAGAAGCTATTCTACCCTTTTCCGAATCAAGGCCATGGTCTCAGATTTAGAGGAGCTGATTTTCATCCCAGCTGCTTCACACTCGGCTGCGAACCGCTCCAGCGAAAGCTGAAGATCACGTTCTGATGTATTTATTTACATGGTACATCATTTTATCCTGAATAAGGCCACATGGTGCCTGGCTCCAACAGGAGAGAGGTGGAGGACATATCACCAGTCCGTCTTTAGTTAATAATTCTTGTCAAACTCAAACAAGGCGTATATAATATGTATATATATATATATATATATATATATATATATATATATATATATATATATATATATATAAAATGCTAATAAAGTAAAGTCAAGTGAAACATTATATGGTTTTGTTATCATGGATTTTTTAAAATACATTATTAGTAAGTTTAGAAGGTTATTTACAGAGATTGTCGTTTGATTCACAAGAAGGAAACAGAAAATATAAACTCTGGAGCAGCTTTCCTCACACACCCAGACCTCCCAGTACCAATCACCTCCTTCCCCAGTATACATGGGATTAACAACTGCGAGGAGGACACAACGTGATGGTTTTGTCTCATTTGTACAGCTGATTACACTCTACACTGAGGTCGACAGTACGACTAGCTGATTTGGTTAATTTGAATTCAAACAGTGTCAGCTGGGGTTCCACTCTGCTCAGCAGGGGGCCTGGTGGAGTAATATCAACACAGTAATGATTACTCCACTGAAGCAGTAGGTTGGCTCCAATCAGAGCCTGATCGCTTTGCTCATTACGGACTACAAGGCCAAATCTCAGTGGGTGGACCTCTGAGTGAGACCTCACATCTTCCTTCTGAAATGAATTGAAATTCATTTGAGGCACCCTCATGTTCGTACACCAACACCAGACTCATTTGCTTTTGCACGTTGACCCAAGAAGCACTAGGATTTGGAGCACACGGTAATGTTTAAGCAGAGTTTGTGCTTGGTGACCTTGAACTCTGCTTTTATAAACTAAGCAAAAACACAGGTGTGGGAGGAGTTCGGTGAGACCATGGAGCCAGACTTCCAATCGGCTTCGAGGGGATTCTGGTCCACTGTCGGGCGTCTCAGGTGGGAAAGCAGTGTGCTACCGACAATGTTCATAGTGGGTACAGTGCACTGCTGACCTCAACCCAGGACATTGTGGATCGGTGGGCGGAATACTTTAAAGACTTCCTCAATCCCACCGACACGTCTTCCAGTGAAGAAGCAGTTTGGGGACTTTTGGTTAGACTCTCCAATCTCTGGAGCCGACGTCATTGAGGTGTTCAAAAAACTCCTCAGTGACGAGGTCCCATGGGTGGATGAGATTGGCACGGAGTTCCTTAAGGCTCTGGATGTCGCGGGGCTGTGTTGGTTAACACGGCTTTGCAGCATCACGTGGACATCCTCAGGCCTGGTTTCCATTTGTTTGGTCTTTACAACAGATCGGAGCAAACATTTTTTGAACGTGTTGTTTTCATTTCAAGAGTCTGATTTCACACCAAAAAAAAAACAGGTCTTGTGGGGGTACGGAGAAAAATATACACTTCATGGATAAAAAATATGTATTTTCAGAAAAATAAAGAAAAGATCTTGTACATAACTCCCTGGAAACGTGTTTGTAAATGAGTAGATATGATCAGCAGATGGTGCTGTGTCTACTTCATTGTTCCATGTGGATTTCTGAATCTCAGAAACCCAGAGAAATGTCATGTGTTAAAAAACGTTTGCACATGATGACATTAACCCTTTGATGCATGAATTATGAAATCTTCAACCATGATTTTTTAACTTTTTTTCGTTCATCTTTAGGTGCGAATGAAACAACTGTCAACAAATATTTTTATAACATTTAATAATTCACAAAAAATGTATTACGTGTCCACCTGAGTGGACAGCGTGCGCTCTGAACATGAAATGTGTTGGCTTGCCGTACTGAAGTCCAAATGGAGGGGCTCAAATGCAACAAAGTCTTCAACAGCTCTGCTTAATAGCAAAAAAAAAAAAAAAAAAAAAAAACATTTTGAGTTCCTGTCCACTGTAGTGACCATTATGCAACAAAGGGTTAATTCTACATACAATTAGTCACTTATTTTTTATTGAAATACAGTGCATGCAGAGTATGGTCAGAAACCTCTAGTGCCGTGACTAAAGTGAGGAGAGAAGTTGTCTCTTTCACACAATGCAGTTAAACACAGATGTGAAATGATTTCTATGGAGAGAGATCAGACTCAAAAGATCTGAGTTTGTAACTCTTTATTTGTAAATTGTGTTTACTTTTGACCAAGTGTACCTTTTCATTTGCTAGTGTTTGGATTTGTGTGTATGGAGAGAAATATTGCTCAAAAACAATCTCTAGATAGACCTGCACAAAACTATATTAAAGCACAAATCAGTTTACAAGTACATAGTATTTATCATATGTAGACCTATAGTTACTTTTAAAATGTTAGAAGTTGTTTATTTAGGCATATACATATATCACTTGCAAAGTAATCAGTAGATGTTTAAAATTGACTACTTGATGGTAGAGTGGTTCTTTAGATGGGAAGAGTAGGCAAGTCAAACTGAGAGAAAACAACAACACAACGATCCCTGGGGTTTAAAAGGACTTTCTACCCTAAAGTAAAATCGTGTCTCTTGCTAAATTCCCCATTTTTAGAAAAGTAAAAAATAATATTTGCAACCAGCTTCAGACAGCAGGATTTGGAGTCTTTTCTGATATTTGGACATTACCTGATATTTCCTGCCTCTGATTGGCTAACAGCAGCATGACTTCACTACTGACTACATTTGCTTTGCAAAAATGATGTTTTATATCCGTGAACAGCACACGCCTGAGGGGATTCTGCTTTGTGGTTGAGTTGCTAATGCTAACAGCTAGCTTATACCAGTCAGAACATTCTCAGCTGTTCCCTGGACGCTAAACCAACAACAGTCTTCCACGTTGTGAGTCAAGATGGGTGAGACCATGTCTGTTAAACGTGGAGTTTCATGTCTCGGATGCATTTCAGAAGCATAGCCTTGCAAGGCATTGATAAATTTCTGCCTCTGGTCTATTTTTATGCACTAAACTCAGCAGTTCGGATTGAGCCAGACAAGAAACACTTGCCCTAACTGCACAAGTTATGAGTGATCTTGCAAGACCAGCTGCGTGGAAAGTTTTCACAACTTAAATGCTCTTAAGAGAAAAGAAGAAAAGGAGTTTAGAGGTGCTCCAAAGTAAATTCTGATTTCCTAGCGTTCAACCAGCATTTAAATGCACCATGTACACAAAAATGTGTGAGATGTGAAAAGACCCAAAACCATCCATGTACATGTAAACTGACCTGTGCGTGAATGTGATTTTGTTCATGGTTTAAAGCCAATGTGTGCATGTGTGTATGCTTAGGAGCTGAAGTGATACAAAAAGAGCTTGAGAGCCTTAAAAGCCGACTAAAAACCCATCTGTTCTCATTGGCGTTTGGTTATTAAAGTTGGGATTGGGTGGGCAGCGTCACCTTGATTGTTTCTGGATCTCATTCTGGAAACAGGACTGATAAGGATAGCGAAACTGTACTCGGGAACTCTTATTGTATTTTAAGGGCTATATATGTTTGTTTTATTGCTGTGTTTTTTATTGGTGTACAGCACTTTGTTTGTCCACTTTGGGCATGTGAAATCGCTTTATAAATAAAGTTGATTTGATTTTAAAAAGCTAAAAACAAGTTGCACGTTCACAGATCTTTTGAGTGTGATTTCACACCATACAATAGGCTGGTGTTGGGTACTGTGTGAGGCGGAGAGCTGGAAAGTTCCTAGTTTGTGTCCGGCTGCTCAGCAACGTTGTCAGCTCACAGATTAACAACATCCTGTCTGGTAAGAATACTTTTGCAACATTTTACAGGGTCTAGCTTTTCAAATTAAGGGTGTACAACATCACTTGTATCTTAGTTTTGCAAGTCCAACATTATTAGCCAAATTGAAATGGGTGTCATGAAAATAGCTTGTGACAGAGTTTATATGAAGTGGAGTTGTTAATTTCTACTCTTCAAACACCAAACAGTACCCTAGTTAGATTTTATTATAAAAACAAAAACGAGTTATGAATCAGTGATGAGAGCTTGCGGCGTTGTTTGCGGGTTTATTATCATCATGCATGCAGCTGTAATAGTTCACATATGTTTCTTTTTTTTTCTTTTTTCTCAGGATATGTGTTCTCGGGAGCTTTTATCAGCCAGCCTTTGGTATCTGTCTCTCAGAGCTCTCGTGTTGTTCTGTCTGTGCCATTTCATTTCTGGATACTCTGAAGTGGACAGAGCAAATGAGCTGATGTCCAAATATCCTCTTATTGATGGGTAAAGCTTGGATCTCTCAAACAGATCTTTCATTTATGGTATTTAATGTTTAACCTATTGTTCTTTTTTGTTGCTAAGACATAATGACCTACCTCTGCAGCTGAGAATCCATTACAACAATAGTCTGAGTCTGACTAATCTCAGTCAGCTCGAGCATGCCTCCACTAGCATCAGTCGCCTCCAAGCTGGCCATGTACAGGCTCAGGTATTGAAAAAATAGCACCGGCATCCAAAAGAGCCAGAACAAACGCTGCCATGACTCTCACCTCGTCGCCCATTCTCCTGTGCACCCCTTTGTCAGATGTTTGCTGCCTATGTTATGTGTGGGGCCCAGCAGAAGGATGCCGTGAGGCTGACTCTGGAACAAATTGATGTCATCAGACGTATGTGCACCGAGTACCAGGACTTGGTGTTGGTCACTTCCACTAGAGGTGTGGTATATTCTTCCCATAATGAAACTTCAGACTTCCTCCGTGTGCTTTACACAGGAATGTTTGATTTTCTGTGGCCTTCCAACAAAGCTGCTTTAGGATTTCAGGCAAATTGCACACTACTTGTTTTAGTCACTGTAGATGTTTGTGTGTTTGTAGAGCTCAGAGAAGCAGAGATGAGGCATAAAATAGCCTGTCTGATAAGCGTAGAGGGAGGTCACTCCATTGACAGCAGTCTTCCAGCCCTGCGGATGTTTTACCAGCTCGGCGTTCGCTCCATGTCCCTCACACACACCTGCAACACTCCCTGGTAACTACTATCACTTAGTCTCATTAATCCTGACGAGTAATTACATCATAACACGCTTTTTTTTTTACCAAACAGGGCTGAGTCATCCTCCAAACTCTACAACGTCTTTCAAAGACAGGGTAACAGCCTGACGGGGTTTGGAAAGGTAATTCCCTTCTGTAGCTTGTGGCGGGTTTCATCTCACAAAGCTGTACACATGCAGTCAGCTTCCTGTGTTGTTTACATGTTTTATTTGGTTTGTTGATTAGGGAAAGTGGTGATAAATAAAGAGGAAATGTGGTTTTACCTTGTAACACTATAAATAACCTTTTACAAAATCAGATTTGAGATAAAAAATATTTTGACTGCAGGGAATAGAACGTCCTTGTTAACCAACATGTATACGACTGGCTTTACGTTCTTCCCCTCCTAGATACACAAAAGAACACCGCATAATATACGCTAAAACCAGCCTAAGACAACGAGAACCAGTGCACAGGTCCGTTGCAGTCGAAGAGGTTGTCCCTATTGGACGTAAATTAACCTTTTAAGTCCCGATTCTGTTCAAATCTAGGCCTTGCCGATGAGCTACACAGCTTCGTCTCTGGAGATAGGATCTGATACGTCAGAACCGAGCGGGAAAACCCGCCGCAGACGACTGCGTCTCCATTAAAATCCCTTTGGGTAAACATTTTGGCTCTTAAAACTGCCGTGTTTTTAGCCAAAAACCAGAGCTCAGCTAAAATAGCTCAGTTCGCCTGTGGATCTGATTAAGGGGAGTGACGAAACCTTGCCTCGCCTCCATTAATCACATTCCTTTCTTACGGATGGAACAGCAGTCAGATAAAGGCAGTCAGATTAAAGATGGTTTACGGCAGACTTCACGTCTCCTGTGATGGATAATCTGCAGATAGAAGTACAGCCAGGACAGCTCGACCCAGCTGAGGAAGTGTGACCTTTGGGTCACAAATGAGGCCATTCATGTCGCTACACCTCTTTCATGTGCATCTTGTTTGTTTGCTGTTTGCAGGCTGTAGTTGAGGAGATGAACAGACTGGGAATGATGGTGGACCTCTCCCACACATCTTGGGCCACAGCTTGGGCTGTGCTGAACCATTCCAGGGCTCCTGTGATTTTTAGTCACTCGTCTTCCTATTTCATTTGTAAAACCTCCCGCAACGTACCCGACGAGCTGCTTCATGAGCTGGTGAGGGGAACAACGCTATGGCTTCACTCATTCATTTCCTGCACATGCACTTGACTAAATATTTGTCAGATCAGAATCTTGAATGTGTTCCACTGAAATAAGTGTGTTAAGCCGGGTGTACACTGTGCAACCTTTTCCCTTTTTTGAGCCGATTTTCCACTCATGCGAGAATCCACGAGATCGGGGCGAGTTTAGCTCTGAGCGTGGTGTAGTGTACAGGGGGTTACGAGAGGCGATTAACACCACGTGACCAGCTACCGATCAGCAGTCGTGAGCTCGCACGAACTTCTGGCGTGTTTGATATTTTGCTCGTCCCTCGTGAGGGTATCGCACTGTTGAAGCGGCGCTGCAAGCGGCTGCCACCCAATAAGTACCAGAACCGCTAACAGCGCATGCGCAATCAGGCATCAACACCCCTCACCCGCTATTTCCCTAATAACACGTTGTTCGTTTTTATTTCTACACGTTTTTTTACTCTTAATTATTGTCAAGAAAGCGTGTTTGTCGTGTTCATGTCAAATTAAACTGATCACAAACACAGATTTACTTTCTTTATTTCGTTTTCCTCATCCAACCCCCATAAATCCCTGTGTGTCCTCCTGCAGCACTCCCGAAGGACAACAGGCAAAACAAGACAAAAAAGTCTGACATGTTGTGTAAAAACTGCTATTTTTAGCATAATTTTTGGGCCGACGTGTTGCTACCAGACGTACAGTGTGAGCACATGACTCCTGAGATCTGCCCTGCAAGGAAGTTGTATAGTTTTAGCTGAAGTTAAGTGCTACGAGTGAAAAAGTCGCACAGTGTCCACCCAGCTTAATACATATTTTAAATAATCACAAACCTGATTAGAAACAGGACAGCTGGAGGACAGGGGCCAGAATAGAAGAGTTGTTAAAGTGGCAGTGATTGGTTTTACCTGTAATCTCTGGAAATATCCATTTTCATGCTGTTGAATATGAATAAAATGATGTTTGGTAATTGAAAAACACTGGCAGCTTTGTAAAATATGAGCATAAAACTGGGTCTAAAGTATGTAGGGTGCAGGTCTGGTGTCTGGGGGGGACACCTTTGAGACGCCATGTTTCCTTCTGGTCGGCATGCTTTCTGCTCCCCTGGTAACGACATTTACCGTAATGTTTTTTGTTTGTTTTTTTTAACTAGTGACAGTCACAATATGGTGTAAAACTACCCTGACGTGTATGTATGCACTGCCCCCTTGTGCCAGGAGACTACACACTGCCACTTTAATGTCACTTTAGATCAAATTACGCAAACAAGGAGGTTTAAGTCAGTTATCTGCCCAAGTGATGGCTTGCATTTGGGTTTTAGGGTTCTATAACCCCCCAAGGTGCTTTACAATGCAACCAGTCATTCATCTACACACTAAAGTCAATTCTACTGGTCAGTAAATGTTAATTTAAATCCCTCAAATCTACTCTTTAAATAATAAGAGAGAAACAGTGATTTGCAAAAATATCACACCTTTTAATTGGACTAAATCCTAAATTTCATAATCAACATATTTTAAATCACAATTTTAAATTTTGTCCCACTTGATTCAGTAAAATAAATGATGTTCAGGATGCTGCAGTTAAACGGCTGTTGGGTGATGACAGAAAATCTGCCACTCTGGGTGAATTAGGAGTTTGAAGCTGATGTCATGTTCTTACAAAGCGTCAAATAAAATGGATTTATTTTCTAGAATATCAGCTGATCATGTGCGTACAGCTCGGAAATCTTGATCTTCTGTTGATGATTGCAGGTGAATGACTTTGCAGAAGTCTAATGCTAATGCTAGCTTGTTTCTTCTCATTTTCTAAGTGGCCTTTATAAGCTGGTTGTCTTCCAAGTATCGAAAAGCATCTTTTTGTTGCAGCGATCTGTGTTTGAGGCTCCTGCTTCATTTTGAATGAAGGAGTAAGCTGAAATAGACTCTTTTATTTGTCAAACTTTGTTGATTTATCCACATTTTCCACACGGAGGAAACACGCGGCCTTAAATATTCTAGGAACTATTTTCTAGTCCTGATTTTTGAGTCTCACACAGGTTAGAACTTGCATTAACCAACATTCATGTACAGTATTTTAGTCAGGTCTCAACAACAACATCCCAGTCAAAAGAAAAAAATTAAAAATGATGTGAAATAGAAATAAATGTAACAGGCAGGCTACAATTACCAAAACCATGACTCAGCAAAGACCGACTGCTTTCTGTCATTCTGGTCCTTAAGTAGATTTTACTCATCATCTGTGGTGTTGCGGTTATTAGCCAACAAATAGTTTGTAAGTTTTACTTACCCTTTGGATTCATCAATAAAATTCGTAAATATGGAAATATTTACCGATTTTATTACTTAATTAGAATATCCATGGATATTCCCCAGGGCACCACCCATTTTAACAGGGGAAAAATGAATCCAAACCTCTATCAATCTGTCCAAAGTTCGTAAAATTCTTTTAACGAGCGGCGGTCATATTCTATCCAACACAGACAAATTCACTTGAGACAAAACTTAATTGGCGATTACATTTATTAACTAATATAACCACGTCAGCTCCTCCAAGGCGCTAGCCAATCAACACGTCAACCAACTGGTTTTATCAAACAAACAACAAGCAAGGAAACAATGGAGTGATACTGTGAAGTAACAATCTAATCAGACTGGTGGGATGAGATGGTGATGTAATCAAGCAAAGGTGGTGTTGCTTGATGATGTAATCAGACAGAGATAGGCTGATTACCAAACTGGAGGGAGTTTTGAAAAACAAAATGGCGGATCCTTTGTTTGGTTGAACAAAGGATTGAAACTAGGTGTGTGTGTGTGTGGAATTTAGACTGGCTTCCAAAACACGTATAATCAGCGGGCGTGGGCCCCCTGATCGGACGCGTATTTGACGGTGTGAGCACGTTCTAAACTAGGGAGAAACAGACGGGGGTCGGCCTAGATCCGCGCCTGAACGTAGATCCAGCCTCAACCCGCTGCACGGTGATGAACAAAAGGCTGGAGTGTGTTTTACTGAAATGGCGGCCGCATAGCATTATCTCGACGCAGCGTCGGGTGAGCCGGCGCGCCACGCTTCGATATAGCAGCTCGGACCATAATTTGGAATTAGAGATGGAGTTTTACTAAGGGTTGAGCGGCCGAGCGCTCAACACAAAGGTTGCATGGGAATCGCGGCAAACAGCAGCAACGTTCAGAGTAAACTTGATCAGAACAACTTCAAATCGCTTCACACAGCTCAAGAGAAAAACACAGCAACAGATCGATCATAAAGGCAAATTAAATATCTAAACAGTCTGTCTGGCCTGGCCACAGCGTAAAACAAACTTAGATATAAAAAAAAAACAAGAGAAGAGGAGCTTACTTCGAGATGGTCTGTTGGCGTTTTTGGTACGGAAGAGAGAGACCATCTAGTATTTTAAAGCAGTCACGTGGTCGACCACTTGTTTTGGACTATTGGAGAAGCAGGAGAGAAAGAGAGAGAAAAACAAGAAAAATCTTGAATGAACGGGCACAAGGCGTCCCTCTGTGTCCGGGGCTGAGCAGATAAGATGGCGTTGGTCCGTTGATCCCAGCAGCTAGGCCTCACACACTCGCCGTCCGGAGCGGCAGGAGCAGAGGCGGGGGTCTCCTTACACCAGGTGACTGGACAGGGGAGAGAAAGAGTTCCGCTCTGCACCTCAGCTTTATAGACTCGTCCAGCGGGCGGTCTCTGTAGGGGCCGGTATCCACCGGGCCGGTCAGACTTGGCGTCGCATGATGACGTCATCAAGCTGCTGCGGGCTGCAGAGGATCATGGGTCATGGAGTCCCTGCTGGCGCTGATATTAATATGCTTTATTGTCTATGCTTCAGGGCGTAGATGGCACAGTCCTTTGGAGAAAATACTGCGTAGTAATTTTCTTATGAGGGTAGGACCCCAACAGTGGTAAGTGAGCTTTGGAAAGTTTCCTCATTTCTTCGTAGTCGTCTTCGTCTTCCTCCGCTTATCCGGGTCCGGGTCGCGGGGGCAGCATCCCAACTAGGGAGCTCCAGACCGTCCTCTCCCCGGCCACCTCCACCAGCTCCTCCGGCAGGACCCCAAGGCGTTCCCGGACCAGATTGGAGATGTAACCTCTCCAACGTGTCCTGGGTCGACCCGGGGGCCTCCTGCCGGCAGGACATGCCCGAAACACCTCCCCAGGGAGGCGTCCAGGAGGCATCCTGACCAGATGCCCAAACCACCTGAACTGACTCCTTTCGATCCGGAGGAGCAGCGGTTCTACTCCGAGTCCCTCCCGAATGTCCGAGCTCCTCACCCTATCTCTAAGGCTGAGCCCGGCCACCCTACGGAGGAAACTCATTTCGGCCGCTTGTATCCGCGATCTCGTTCTTTCGGTCATTACCCAAAGCTCATGACCATAGGTGAGGATTGGGACGTAGATCGACCGGTAAATCGAGAGCCTGGCTTTCTGGCTCAGCTCCCTCTTCACCACGACAGATCGGCTCAGCGTCCGCATCACTGCAGACGCCGAACCAATCCGCCTGTCGATCTCCCGATCCCTCCTACCCTCACTCGTGAACAAGACCCCGAGATACTTGAACTCCTCCACTTGAGGTAGGACCTCTCCCCCGACCCGGAGTTGGCAAGCCACCCTTTTCCGGTCGAGAACCATGGTCTCAGATTTGGAGGTGCTGATCCTCATCCCAGCCGCTTCACACTCGGCCGCGAACCTACCCAGCAAGAGCTGAAGGTCAGAGCTGGATGAAGCTAGGAGGACCACATCATCCGCAAAAAGCAGAGACGACATTCTCCTGCCACCAAACTCGACACACGACACTCGACACACTCCTCATTTCTTATTTAATTTAAATCAAAAACACAGTAAACTTTAAAAAATAGTCAAAATCAAACAAAATGTAAGGAAATTCTCACACACGTGTTGGTATGTGTTTGTAGGAGTCCAGGGCAACTGAGAAACATGTTGTGACCCTGAAGTTTTGGGAAATGTTGTGTTTGACATTTATTCATGCAGAAGCTATAACAGACATGGAGACAGGAGACGTCCGTCTCAAGTGGACATGTTTGATGATGTCACCTACAGATAGCTGCAGGGGCTGTAATTAAAAAACTGATGATTATACCTGTTCAAGTCTGTTGTTCTACTGCTGTCAGCGAAGGTTTGTTAATATCAGTTTTGCAGCTTCAGATGTTTGCCTGTATCCTTACAAATCACACGTATTCGAGAATAACGCACTGCTTTGATGCTCTTTTATGAAAGTGCCTTAAAATCAAAGTTTTAACTCTTTATTTGCTCCTTTTGACAAGTAAACTTTACACGCAGGTAGAGTTCATTACGTAAGAGCATTCATCTCAGTTCTTCTTTCAGCTGCAGAGCAGCACGTTGACAAATACTGAAAAGGACCTTTACGTTTATTTTTCCTTTGTCTTGTTTGCACAATGGAAGATAATCTCCAACCGAACGCCCTCGCCTGCATCCTGAACAGGCTTGTTTCTCATTATGTCATCAGCTTTTACTTGCGTCAACAAAATGCTGACTTACATACCTAATGTGACCTTTCTTTTGCACCTATAAACTAGTGCACATGAAACAAACACTGAAAGTAGGATTTTTAATGAGATGATATTTTATTAGACTTGATGTATTATTTTTTTTTACTCTGTGTTTTTGTTTTCAGAAAAAGAACAAGGGCTTAATCATGGTGAATTTTTATAGCCCCTTTACTTCCTGCAATCACGAGGGGAATGTGTCCCATGTGGCTGGTAAGGAATCCCTCTTAAATGGATGCATATGAAATCGAGGTTTAAACTTCTCCTAAACTCATCATTAGTGTTTGCTGCTGTTCTTAACAGACCACTTTGATCACGTTAAGAAGGTTATTGGAGCCGAATTCATCGGAATCGGAGGAGACTATGACGGTGGGAAGAGGTAAGTTGCAGATGACTGTAAGTCCTTTACACACCTGTAAAGCATAAGGGTCAGAGGTCATTTATTGTTCATGTTCTAGTCAGTTTTAAGTGTCATGATCTCATGAGCCGGCAGTCCAGCAGATGCATCAGCACATCTGGATTACGATGTTTTTACAGACGCTAGGACACATTTCTCAGTGCTTGGGTCACTTTTGCAGAACTCTTCACACAAATCTCCTGACTGAGTTTTAGCGTGGCAAAGCCGTTCATTTCACATTCAAAATGCACTCCAGCTACCAAAACACTTCCTTCAGGTCTCAAATAAACACGTTCTTCCAGAACATTAGCAAAGGCTGACAGCCGACAAACACACTTTGTGACCCACAAAACAACGAGCTAAAAAACAACAACAACACGCAGCATTACGGTGTTTTCCTGTGTAGAACAAGGGCACGTCTCGGTCTCCATGGAGTATATATTGTCCATAACTGCAATGCATGTTTTATTCATTGTTTTAATGTGTTCTTAGTATTCATCATGGTTTATCTGCCTTTGATTGAGATTTTTTATCCTTTGTTTTAGCTCCTTGTAATGGTTGTGTTTTGTTTTAGCCTGTGCAGCACTTTGGGCAGCTCCCATGCTGCATTTTAAACGTGCTATATAAATAAACTATGCTATGCTATGCTATTCTGGAACGAATCAGACATGATGCAGAATGAGTCATTTTATGTTGCTTATTTATTTTCAGGCTTTTGCTAATTCCATAATACAAGAATTTGTACACACACCATCCACCGATACATGTACAATAGACAGATACGTATCCCCCGCCCCTCCCAGCCGCTCTTCTTCCTCTTTCAGCCACCACTCTATTTCTGGCTGGTTCCATGTTTACATCACAACACAAACGTATTCAGCAGTTGTCTCCTTCTGGAATGAATTGGAAAGAACAACACCGGTGTAGATGTTCATCTACAATGAGAATCAGCTGTGGCTGCTTAAACTGCATTTTTAGTATGTTTCAGTAAAATCTTGCCGTCTCATTCAGTTTAGCCTGATGTTGTTGTTTTGAACATAAGGTTAACAGTGTGTTAGCACGTGTAAAATGTGCTGTCTGCACAAAGACTTTCGGCAGTTGTTGTGTCTGAGTGAGAAAATAATTCATGAAACTTAAGAGATGTTGTCACTGAATGCATTTTGTGCCAAAACAATGATAATTGATCCTCAGTTTAGCCCACATAGACTTCTGTGTGAAACGATTAGCAAAAGTGACCCAAGTACTGAGAAATGTGTCCTAGCTTCTGGAAAATCTGTAAATAAGCAGGACGTTATGAAGCTTTTTCAGATGCCCAGGTGTCTAAAAGAGGAGCGCTGTGTCCTGAAGATGCGTGCCGAATGCAAAGAGAAACTTCAGTTCATGTTTCAAAGACTGCTTTTTAACCAGATAAAAATTATTTTTCCATTTGATATCGGTGTGCTTCAGAAACTAGTTTAAAATCTATTTTGAAATGTGCTAGAAGGCATGGCAGAGCCTGAGCCGTGAACACTAAATGATCCTATAAATAATTCATGAATTTAGTTGTTGCTGCTGCACAGAACTGCATTTGTGATCGTTTAGACGAGAACGGCGATTGATCCATTTTCAAAAGAAACTTCTACTGAGTGTGTGTGCGTGTGCGTGTGTGCGTGTGTGCGTGTGTGCATGTGTGCGTGTGTGTGTGTGTGTGTGTGTGTGTGATAGCTTTCCTAAGGGGTTGGAGGATGTGTCAAAGTATCCTGCCATAATCCAGGAACTCTTGAGAAGAAACTGGACAGAGGACGAGTTGGCTGATGTTCTTCGACGAAATTTCCTTCGAGTGTTTGAGGAGGTTGAAAAGGTGAGATGTGAAAAAAAAGAAAAATATATATATCAAATATTCCCACCCCACCCTCCACAGGTGGTCTCACCCTTCCAAGCTCGGGTCCTCTACCAGAGGTCTGGGAGCTTGAGGGTTCTGCAGGATCTTAGCCGTTCCTAGAACTGCTCTTTTCTGGGCTGAGATGTCTGATGTTGTCCTGGGGTCTGCTTTAGCCGCTTTGTCAGTCTGGACCTGGAAGTCCCACAGGAGCTTGGCTCTCTGGTTCTCTACCACTTTAGGGGGCGTTACCCACTTTGACCTTGGTGCTTCCAGTCCATCCTCTGCACAGATGTTCCTGTACACAATGCCAGCCACTTGGTTGTGGCGTTCTCTGTAAGCTTTCTCTGCTAGCATCTTAGACCCTGCAGGTATGTGGTGGATTGTCTCAGGGGCCTCTTTGCATGGCCTACACCTTGGGTCTTGTCGGGTGTGGTAGATCGTGGCCTCTGTTGCTCTGGTGTTCAGGGCCTGCTCCTGTGCAGCCATGATGAGTGCCTCTGTGCTGTCCTTCAGACCAGATCTTTCTACCCATTGGTAGGGTTTCTTGATGTCAGCCACTTCAGTTATCTGTTGGTGGTACATCCCATGTAGGGGCTTGTCCTCCAACAATGGTATTCACAGCATCTCCTCCTCTGTTTGCCATTGTCTGAGACATTCACTGAGCACGTCATGTGTTGGGGCCTTGTCCTTGATGTACTCATGGATATTGGATGTTTCATCCTAGATAGTGGCTCTCACTCTCGCTAGTTTTCAGCCTTTTTTTATACAGCTACTGTACAGTGTCAGGGTGCTGGATTTGGGATGGAACCATCCATGCATGGTTAGGAGCATCTGTGGTCTGTGTTTCTACCTTTGGCCAGTTCATTATTCCTGCAGGATATCTGAATACTGGCAGGGCGTAGCTGTTAAACGCGCAGGTCTTCTTCTTGCTGTTGAGTTGACTTCTTAGACTTGCCTTACTTGTTGTACGTATTTGGGATGGCTCCTTTCATTGCAGCTTCATCAAGGTTGTTATTTGCCTCCATCTAAAAGGCTAGGTTATCCAGAGTTATCTCTGTAGTTATGCTGCTATAGGCTATAACCATTTAAACATTCTCCCTCTCCTGATAATAACATTTTACTCTCTTTGACGTTGGATGTGCTACTGCTAGTTTACCCGTTTAATTATAGATCCACTAGAATAAATACAATAAAGTTTATCTCTCACCAAATAGAATATTTACTAAGAAATCACAATAGAGCTATAGACACATTGCTTTGTGTGTGTGTGTGCGTGCGTGCGTGCGTGCGTGTGTGTGTGTGTGTGTGTGTGTGTGTGTGTCTGTGTGTGTGTGTGTGTGTGTATGGCTGCTTATACTGAGCCAGGATTCTCTGGAGGTTTCTTCCTGTTAAAAGGGAGTTTTCCTCTCCACTGTCGCTTTATGCTTGCTTAGTATGAGGATTGCTGTAAAGACTCTGACACTAGTCAGTGACTCAATGCAATTTGCTGGGTTCCTTATATAGGAACCATTTTACTGATTGGCTTAATGACCTGACCTGTAGTGAAATGTTTACTGTGTGAAGGTCCTTGAGACGACTCTTGTCCTGGTTTGATGCTATGTAAATAAATTTGAATTGAATTTGCTGGTGGGACACCGAGGTACTTGTAGCTGTCCTCAGTGTCTGCTATTGTTGCTTCTGGAGGGAGAACCCTTCTGTGTGGACTACCTTTCCTTACTTTGTCACCATCCGACCACACTTCTCAAGTCCGAATGGCATTCCGATATCAGTGCTGTAGATCCTGGTGGTGTGGATCAGTGAGTCGATGTCTCGCTCATTCTTGGCGTACAGCTTTATGTCATCCATGTAGAGGAGGTGGCTGATTTTGGTTCCGTTCTTGAGTTGGTATCCATAGCCTTTGCACTGTTGGGCAACTGTTCGGTCTATCAGCAGCTGGCGTTTGGCTCCTCTGGTACCTCTGCCACTGCCCTTTTGTGTTCTGCTCGTGATTCGATCTATTTGCCCATTTATCTTAGTCACTATGATGCCTGACAAGATCTTTCGTGTTGTGGGGAAACAAGTAATTGTCCAGTTGCTGGATGGGAGTGCACCCTTTGAGGGGTCTGTCATGATGAGGACTGTGAGCCCTTCATTTAGTCTTTCAGGGTGAGTCCCATCCTTTAGCAGCTGGTTCATTTGTGCTGCTAATATCCTTTTCCCTACAAGATTGGCAGGATTACCACTACTACCATCATCCAAAATGGATTAGTACCTCCTTAAAACATCACAAATGACTGGTAATATCTCACTGATGAGGTAAAGTGGTATGGTAAACAATTTTCTCTTATAAAAATCAACATGCTGAGTCACCCTGTGTCCTTCAGAACTGGCCCTACTGTGACTAGCAGTTAGCTCATTGATCCAAGCAGAACCGTTGTTTCTCCAGTCGGAAGTAATGTTTTTAGCTATATGTTCTACTGAACACCACTTCAAAATATCTCAGCTTTTAGGTAGGTCCTTGTTTTAAACATATCAATTAAATCCACATCAATGAATTTAACATCAGTAAAGCAACACCTGCAAAAGCTCTTCAACGTCTACAGCCGTTGTTTCTCTTATTTCCATCCAGGTCCGTGATTGGCTGAGCCATCTCCGACCCAGTGAGGCTCACATCTCCTTAGAGGAGGTGCAGAACCCCTGCAGACTGGTTCTCAAACATCCTGACTTGTCATCCACGGCAGAACGAAAACCTTTTAACCGGCTCGTCCTGACCACCATTCTGCTCCTCTCCCTCCTTTTCTGGATTGACTGAATATTTATGATCTAGTTAGAAAGCAAATATTTTATTGTCTATATAAATGAAGAAGTTTTGAGTCTGCAGTGGCCAGTTGTGAGTTTTACAGCATCTTTTTGGAGAGGATTATTATTTTTATATTTAATATTTTACATTGTTCTTTTTAAATCTCATCCTCTGGGAAGCATTTTATAACTTGTTTTTGAACATATTTATTCTAATTCTAAGCCGTGACATTTGTTTATATTTATCTTTGAGGGCATCAACAAGAATGTGGATCAATAAAACTCAGAACTGAATTTGTTACTTTTTCATTGTTGAACAAAAAGAGGCCTTATCAGTTGTTTAGTGTTGCTTTAGAAGAAACCAGGTGTTCTTAATGCAGTCATGTTTCTGCTAACTGCATTAGAACCAGAACCATAACATGCATTAGAACCAGAACCGTAACATGCATTAGAACCAGAACCGTAACATGCATTAGAACCAGAACCGTAACATGCATTAGAACCAGAACCGTAACATGCATTAGAACCAGAACCGTAACATGCATTAGAACCAGAACCGTAACATGCATTAGAACCAGAACCGTAACATGCATTAGAACCAGAACCGTAACATGCATTAGAACCAGAACCGTAACATGCATTAGAACCAGAACCGTAACATGCATTAGAACCAGAACCATGACAGTCGTGGTTTTCAACGCTGCAGTGTTTGAAGGAATGTTGTTTGTCCCAAACATCTGGAGGAGTTTGCCACAAATCCTCTGTGCATCTGACTCCACTGATTTCATAATCCCAGACACATCTGAGCTCCGAGCTTATGATGAAATCGTGTTCAGGATAACTAATACTCTGTACTGGGGGGTGGGGGTCACCCTGCTGTAGAATGGATGGATAGAATAGACTTGGGCCAGTCTGGTAACACTTTCATTAGATTTTTCTAAACGAAAGAGAAAAATCTCCAACTTTGAGCAGAACTATACCTGCACCTGCTTCCCTGTTAGCGGCGGCTTCAGTACTGCCCCACGCTGCAGCTCTTCAGTGAGCAAACCGCCTTCTGCTCCAGCCAAATGTTTCTGATTTCAACTCATCAGGCTGAAGCAGCTGCTATCATTCTTCTGCACCACAGTTCTTTTGTGCACTGTTGACTCATTTGGTCTTGTTTCCATGACGAAAGCTTAGCCTTTGGGTTCTGAGTGCTACATGAACATCTTTTTTCTGCAGAGCAGGTATGTGACACTAGGCTGCACAGGTTTCTGCAGGTTTGGAGCTGATGGCAAAGCTGGATAACATTACATTGGAGATCCCATTTGCAAATGTTTAAAGCAAAAAGAATGTTGAATGCTACATACAGCCCTTAAAATCACTGGAAATATGTTTGCAATTGATGTAAATGTACTGACAGACCCAGAGATTGGACTGATTTATTATCACCTTTTGATAACCGGTGTAACATAAAATTATTTATCACTAAAAACACTTTATAAGCAGCTACTCAGGCAGTTTTAAGTACCATAGATATACCATGCAGATATTTATTTATTGAAAATACACAAAGTGACAAATACAAAACACAAATAAAATAAGCGTTATAAATACTAAACCTTGGGTCTGATATTACAAAAATGTTAAACATCATTTAAAAAAAAAAAAAAAAAAAAAAAGAAGACATTCTTTGTCTCAACGGATAAAGGTCCCAGGTGAGTAAAAATAAAGTACAAATAAAATCGTTTCACGGTTCGATGCTTCGCTTCTCGATTCAACAGCAAAACTAAGCTTCCAAACATATAAACTTCATGAAAAATTTGATTTCTGCCTTCCAGAATTTCTAACTGGACTTCTTCTGGAACATCAAACATGAAGCCTCAGTTATTAAAAGGTTGGAAAATAAATAGTATAAATATTAAATAAAAATACGTAAAATACACTGTTTTGGAATCTAATTCTGGTATAAAAGTACGATATTTTTAACAACATTATTTTCCCGCCTCACTCGATGGGCCACTGCACAAATGGCCGCTGATCCAGAGAAAAACGCAGCGGTGGAAACTGGGATGTAACAGCTATTTGCATTATGTAAAAGTTCTGGTGATAGGAATGTGTACCGCGGCGACGTGAATGGTGTTATTCATCCTTGAAAAATAAAAATGCAAATGACTTATTTTGGGTCCCGCTTCACTCCTGACACATTCTTTGTTTCATCTGTCACGTCATGTACTTTTGGTCAGATGTGTGTTTATGCTTCTTGCACCAGAAACCAAAACAGAAACAGAATCCTTGTCCGTGTAATCTTTTCAGGAGATCATTTTGATATTTAAGGGCATAATTAGCTTTTGTCTTTGTACACAATTAGAAAAATAAAGATTTGTTGCTATATTTTATTTTTAGATCCTTAACTAATTGACCTAGGATTTACCTAAAGGTGAGCTGCGTCCATCCAGCACAGTTCGATCACTAAATAATAATACTGTATAACACGCTGTTTTGGCCTCCTGCAAACATAAAAACAGCAATCATGTAATGTTTGTGTTTGATAAATGCACTGAATTTCATATTAGAAGTATAAAATTACAAACCGACAGGTACATACGTACGGTTGATTAAAGATGTTCTACAAAAATAGAATAAACTCTTTTGCACTCAAAAGTTGGTATGTGAACCAAGAGCTGCTGGAAGTCCCAAAGCAGAACGTCTTCTTCCAAAGCCCTTCCATAGGAACTCCTAACTAGTCATGAGTAGATGGTGATGACCTCCCGACCTCCTCCTCTCACCAGCAGCACGCGTTCCAAACCCTCAGTCAACACCTCCAGAAACTCCATGTCTGAGCGAAGCGCTGAGGAAACGAAACCCACAAACAAACATCTGCTTTACTGCATGTTTGCAGAAGGAAAGGATACAGTTTTCATCTCCGTCCGTGTTGCGAGGAGGACCCGGCATGTTGAGCAGCACTAGCCGAGCGTCGTGGGACCTGTTGACTATCACTTCATTCAGCTTCACAGCTGTGTGCATCCTTCTCACGTTGGACTGATCCCTGGCGAGAGGCAAAAAGAAGAGCCTAGATGCGTTAAAAGGGCCAGAAGCTTTTCTTTACTTGTCTATAAATGTACAATCAGGTGTGAAGAAGATGTTGGACATGAGTTTGACTCACGGTTTGAGGCTCATGAGCTCTCTGAAGTTCTCAGGAGCATTGTTGCGATTTCGCTTTTCAGCTTCATGCTTCTCTCTGGTCCATGTCATCTGAACCTTCTGTGGAGGAACTTCCACAGGCTCCTCCTCCTCATCTGAGTATAGACTTCCCATTCGCACCAGTGAGTGTCTGTCTTTAACCAGCTGAGCCTGCAGCACAGTCACACGATCTGCCTCAGATACGATTTCAAAACGTTCGACTCGTTCCTAGAGGTGTTCTCATTCAGCTGTGAAGGTCTTTAGTTTGATAAGAAGTAAAACCGAGGCGCGTGCAGCCCACCTCTCGTTGCCGCTCTGTAGTGGAAAGCCTCATCTGCCGTAGCATTTGGGACCTCTGCTCCATCATTAATGTCCGTTCGTAGGTGTAAGCCGAGATGTCGCTGTCATGCTGAAATCCCAGTCGATGAAAGTTGCATCAACAGAAAGTTCAAATCAAACATGTTTGTCTCTAACGTGGAAAGTCTCATAGTCAGAACTTTTCTCCTAAATCAGATCCACTGAGCTAACTCTTTAGCTCAGTGGGAGTTTTTTCCAGCCTTTATTTTTGTTTTAACCCGCTCAGGCTCAAAATAAGTTCTGATAAACTTTTGACAACTAAGTCCTTCAGGGGTACTTCTGAGTTAAAGAATGCTCATGAAACACGTGTGTGGAGTAACCGGGTAGGTAGGTTTTAACGTTGCTATCCTGCATCGCCTGCCTCCAGAGGGTTAGCAGCCTATTTGGTGAAATCGTGTAGAGTTGTTTGAGTTTGGCACTGTGGACATCTGGTTCCACTAACAGACTCAATTAAATGGCCTACATGATCCAAACTCTTAAAGAGGCCTTGGTCAGGGTCGACATTCTTTCTGAAGGATATGAGCAGAAACACCCACCATCTCCACCACCTCCACCTCAGCCTCTATTCTCAGCTGATACAGGAATGTGGCCAGATCCTTCTTCATCTGGATGCTGTTGTCATCCATCTGGGCTACAGTGAAGATGCGCATCTTACATTTCTTCCAGACCTAAAACCAAAAGTGTTGATTCATGTAAGATGCATGCGCGCCACATAGGATGGAAACAAAGAGTAAAGGCTCTCGTCACATTTTTGATTGGAGAATGAAACACACCTTTTCCTTTGGTGTATCTGGTTTTTGTGCCGTGTTTAAACTACAGTAGGACATTAAACCGAGGCTCACCTTGTGCTGTTTGAGCAGGAACGGGAGCAGCATTAGCATTCCCCCATCGTGGACGATCCACCACACATCAATGTTGCCATCTGTGAAGCGTTCGTGGTTGCTCGGGTAAAAGGACACATTTTTGGGGACCATCAGAGCCAGGTGGGCAGCTGTTGTGCAGCGAACCGTGTCTGGGTAGAGAAGACAGCACACTGGCTGAGACATTTACACGCTAGCGCACCCCTGCTGTGTGTGTGAGGGTGCAGTCAGATGAGAATCTCACCACAGACACTACTGAGTTAATTAGGAGCCAGCAACAAAGCAACACAATCTGGTGTGTGAGCAGCACACGGGCAATTACACATAAATGCCACAATTTAATGTTGCAGTCGTACAGAGATTGGGTTGTTTAGCTACTGCGGGATCGCTGCTTCATTAAAACTCACTAATAAAAGTCTTCCATGCTCGAGGGTCTTCGCTCTGTCTCCAGCCGTACGGCCAGCCCATCACCACCGTGTTGTGCTTCATCCCCCCAAGGCCGCAGGACTGGATCAGATGGACGACGCCCTCCCGGACCTTAGTGGCCACCACAACTTGACAGAAACCTTTGACCCGCTCGATCTCCATCATGTTCTTTATTGCCTGAAGGACAAATTGGCGACAGGTTGATTGTACTGATACTAATTCATACATTTCACAATCAGGTACAGCGTCATGTGTTTGCTTATAGTAGAGATAGCCATCATGCCTCAAAATGATAGAGGATATAAAGAGTTAAATTCCACTTTTTTATAATTAGATCCAACACTAAACAAATGATAGAGAATGATTTTATTGCAGTTTCACATTACTCATAGGTATGTTTTATTATTATTATTTTTGCCATTTTGAAGCATATTTATGTGTAAAAGTTATAAATAATCAACCTTTGACCCCTCATAGCTTCTAAAAATATAAGCTAAAGGCTAATCCAAATACAGACAGGATAAATTATTTGCAGCTGTGATAAAACAGCTCCAGTTTTCAAGATGTCGAAAGGATTTGTACTAATATTTATATAAACCATTTCAGTCATTCACTGCCAATGACGACTAAAGTCATCATTTGCATGTTTTTACTGTGTGGGCGTCGGACGAGCCCCCACACCGTGAGAACAAACATCTCAGCTCTGAAGCCGATCTTCATCCGCGTACGTCACACGTCACGTGATCAGGGAGCAGAACATCCGTGTGTTAGGAGATCATTTTGGGCCGCTGCTGTAAAAAAAGCGGAAAAGCTTCTGCCGATCACAATTCAACAACGGATTATGAAAGAACGGATAACGCTCGAAACGCGCGGATTCTTCCTGATGTAAAGGTGAGTCTCTGCTCTGTTTTGGTTGTTTTGGCATCGACATCATGCTAGCGCGCAACGTTCTGTCACTCTTAAAAAAAACAGTAAAAACGATGAGAAAGGCCAGCAGCGAATTGTTTAAAATAACTTGATTATTTTACACAAAATGTGAAACGTTACCTGCTGCATTGGACCCGGTTAACACCAGATAAGCCACACTTTGTTGCTCCTGGTGATATTTAATAAAGGTAAATAACTGTAAAGCAAAACTGAAAGGTGAACACTTGATTAATTACATTCATACTATAAAATGTTGACGTGCTGCAGCAGTAACACACTTAGGTTTCAGCTGCCTGAACTAGCTGTTAGCGTATCAGTCCTGTGGGACGTCAACTGAATTGTTGAAACAGCAGCTGTTCAGGACACCATCTATAATGGGTGAAATAAAAATATGTGCACACAAACTTTGAATATTGGATCACTTGTTGTCACATAAAGCAAAATAAGTTATTTATCAGACAAACTACTGTTTCTGTAATTTGTCTGAAATCCCCCTTTAGTCCATTGTTGTGGAAACACAGTTTAACTTGGATTAAAATGAAATGGGCAGGTAATAATTAAACATTTTTAAAAGTACAATTTATAAAACAAATACTCATTTGTGCCAAAAAAGTATCAAAATGTGCACAAAACCATTTCTAACTTTTTCTTATTTTGGTTTCACAATTTACAAATGTTGCTGCGTCGTGGCGCAGTGGTTAGAGCTGCAGCCTGGGATCTTTCTGCATGGAGTTAGCATGTTCTTCCTGTGCATGCGCGGGTTCTCTCCGGGTTCTCCGGCTTCCTCCCACAGTCCAAAAACATGACTGTTAGGTTGATTGGTCTGTCTAAATTGTCCTTAGGTGTGTGTGTGTGTGTGTGTGTGTGTGTGTGTGTGTGTGTGTGTGTGTGTGTGTGTGTGTGTGTGTGTGTGTGTGTGTTGCCCTGTGATGGACTGGCTAACTGTCCAGGGTGTACCCTGCCTGATTGCCCACTGACCGCTGGAGATAGGCACCAGCCCCCTACGACCCCACGTGGACAAGTGGGCAAGGATGGATGAAGTCACAAATGTTTGCAGCTGCTACGGTCAAGCAAAACCAAAAAAGCACCAATTTATTTGTAGTTCTTAAGCAAATACCTGCTCCGCTGCCTGCATTTCCCCATAGCTGTCCAGGAAGTTGCCCTGGATGGCCGAGCCAACAATAGTCAGACCTTTTCCTGCTTTCAGCTGAGAGGCAAAGGTGAGCAGCCTGGGGTATTTTACATGAAGGTCTTCATCCAGCTTCAACAGCACCAAGAGCTGAGGTCTGCAGAACGCAAATCACAGTTCAGTAGGAAATGACACAGCTGCAGATGAAAAGAATATAAAAGATATGAATTAATAAATAATGCATTAGAATGGTGGATTATGTTATTACAGCAATTATCCATAATCCACTTTGGAGATTTGTTGTCTCACCTTGTTGGAGCAGTGAACAAGCGGTTTAGAAAGAAGGAAGTCATTTTTTATTAATATTATTATTATATTGCAACTAAACACATTCTTGCTTAAATCAATGTTATTTAAAAAAATGAAAGATATTTGTTTTCTAATTATTAATGTTTTTGCTTTATGTCTTACAGCACCCCCTGCTGGTTGGCCTCACCTCCAATTTTTGGTGTGAGGAGGTCCAGCTTCTAGCCTCAGCAGGGCGTAACGTGCAGCACTGAGAGATAATCCTCTTATCCCATCGCCCCACTCCTTCTCGGCTCTGGTTTTGTTTGTGAGAACAACACAAGGAAAGAAGAATGGCGTGATCAGCGAACTGCGAACATGCAGAAACTCCCCCATACTGATAAAAAACCTGACGAGGATGTATTGTGGTAAAACATCGACTCCATACGCACCCCTGGTACTCAATGTACTTGTAGATCATCCCAGCAATCCCCATGGCCACTATGGCATAGTACCAGGAGGAAATGAACATCAAAGCCAGACACATACTCATGCCCAGGAATGATAAAGTCCTGTGGGTGCAATACACAAAGCTTTGATGTTTACAACTGCATAGTAGGAAGAGGAGGGTGTAAAAAATGGTCATAAAACAGGTCAATAGTTTTCAATTATTCTCTGCAAAGAAAAATGTTAATTGATGTTGTTAAGGACAGCATCACAGAAGACAGGATTTAGCAAACAGAAACTCACCAGTGGTAATATTTAAACCTTGGCCTCCAGTTAGGCGTTCGCAGGAGCGTTTGAACAGCACATGCTAGGTTTACAAAGAGATAACACATCAAGAAGAACCTGTTGAGTAAAAATAAAATGATTATTAATTATTTATTACCATCAAAACAGAAGTATGTTTTCAATCTTTTGAGTTTACATGGAAAGGATGGGAGCCACCATGTCCAGTGATGCAATAAGGATGCCAAGTTCCGCTATGAGACCAGTCAGCAGCAGGGCCCACGTCGGCTCCCCGTTGGTCTTTCCGTGCCCAAACACCTGGAGCAAAAACACTCGACACGTCTGTGTGCACGCAGCTTATTTTGGCAGCTCAAGCTCTGCCAGCGCAACTGTTTGTACCACAACAAATTTAGGAATATGTGCCATACCCTAAGAAAGGGGATGATGTTGTCTTTTGCTATCGCTTGCAGAAGTCGTGGCGCACCAGTGAGAGATTGCAGCCCTGCACCAACAGTGGAGAAGAAGGAGCCAATCACAATTACCCATGGAGAAGGCCACGACAGAGTCCCAACAACAAGGTTCTTGTGAACGGCATCTCCGAATCTGAAAGAAAAGTAAAAGCTGTAATTAAATGATCCGTTTCTCGCTAGCTCTTATTTTACATAAATATACACATTTGCATGGACTGAACAGCAGGTAATAAGTCCAAGCCCAAGAAATAAATAAACATACTTGTCTCTCAGGACAACTCCCTCTATACACGATCCAAACAACACCACCGAGCTTAGATCTGAACATGAGCAATTAGGGAACTCAAGACAGTACACATGTGTGCAATAAATCTTTTCTTTCCTCTTTCAAATGAGGTAGGATACAAACAAGTGACGTAGTGGTGATGGCCAAGATTGTTCCCACAGGGATGGACTTCTGAGCATCTCTGAGATCCCCAGATCTGTTTGAACCTGCCATTATCCCTGAAAAAAGAAGGGCACACATACCGAGAGAGACGAATCAGACAACATCCTCCGTCGGTAGGGTGGTGAATATGTCGCAGAAACAGAGACGCAGTGTTATTATTTACTAACATTAGGCTTTAAAAGTGAATGCTTTTACTGGCATTCTACTTGGTCAATCTCACACTCTGAGGACATCTACAGTCTCTGAAAATGGAGCTTAATTCTTAACAATAAAAAATGTAAATGTTAATAAATCCATTAAACTTTAGTTTAAAGTGGTTAAAACCAGGGGCGGCGTTAGGCCCGGCTACTTGGGCTGAAGCCCCGGATGTTTCATGAAAAGCCCCGGATCTAAATCGCGGAAGTAGCATGCAGTACCAAAGTCCAACAGAGAGGGCGCAGCGGGCAGTAGTTTGTATACAGCCTGCCTGAGCCTCCACCACTGAAGAAGAAGCCCTTCAGCAGCCGGCTTCTTCTACACTCTCTGCCTGAAACGCATGAGTGAAGATGGACATAAGGACGTTTTTTAGACCAAAAGTACCGCGACAGAACCCCAGCTTTGATGAGACTGGTGCTGACTCAGGTTTGTGAGTCTTATTAGAAAATATTTGTTGTGCTGCTGGTTTGCCTAAAGTTAGCTTACTATCAGGTAAAGTTGTTGGAGAGAGAAAGGGAATATTTACTATCATCTCACACTAAACACTAACAGGAACAATACTCTGCCCTGAAAATGCTGAATATGTAGCTTCAGATTAAAAATGATGTGGTACAAGACATATATATATATGATGTTGACTAGTGTGTGTCACGCATGTGTGTGCATGTGTGTGTGTTAAGCCCCGGATCTTCTTCAGTCCTAAATCCGCCCCTGGTTAAAACTGACCTTTAAAATGAGTCTAACCTGTGGCAGAAGGGAAGAAGATGCCAACTAGAAGTGTGAAGGATGTGGCGATGTCTGCTGACACGTAGTTCAGAAAGTTCTCTACGGGACTGTGAGCCTCCACTGACTGCAGCCCGGCTTTCTCTAAGATCTCCCCTTTCTGCAGGTAGTCGCTCCACATGTTGTCTGTCTCGTAAAAACAAAAACACAGTTAGACCATTCAATTGGGATTCAGTTCAAATGAAACTTTTAAATTAAAATTAAATCTAATAACATTTCCTTGTCGGGCCCATTCAACCGAGTCATCGCTAAGTTTATAGTAACAAGTCATTTTTGTAAATGAGTTTTTTCTGTGATTTTGATCTTTACTTGATGCTTTTTTCTGAAACGTGGTTAAATGCTGGTAACCGAGCACCAGTTCCCATGGAATCAGCACCACCACATTTCACATCTTCATACATGGTTCTGTCCGACAGGACGGTTGGAGACTAATTCCAATGAAAATGTGTATTAAAGCTATATATCAGTGTCTTATTAGCTCCATTATTAGTAGATTTCAAATAGGATTTAAAAATATATTATTTTTATGTTTTTGAAGTTTTTTCTTGTACCTGAAAAGTAACTTGAAGTGCCTCTGTGTATGAAAAGTACTACATAAACAAAGCTGCCGTGCCTTACTTTTAATCAAGCAGTACTTTGACTTCTCAGCTGGATAGAAGATGAGATTTGTGTGCATTAGAGTTACGTTTGGAGGACAATTCATGTACACAACAAAATTCAGTAAACTGTTTAACAACTAACTTAATTTTATCACAAAAATACAACTGCTGTATAAAAGACTTCAGTTCTGTTATTTTCTCTTTGTGAATACATTTTTATATATTTTCTAAATACTGTTCACTGGAGCAGTCATATTTAATTGTTTAGCATTTTTATAACTCACTTTACTTTAAGCCTGGTACTCTGGACCAGTACCAGCTCTTGGCCCAGTGGCTGGGGAACCAGATTTTTTAACCCTTTGATGCATAATGGTCACTACAGTGGACAGGTACTCAAAATTGTTATGTATTTGTTTTTGCTATTAAGCACAGCTGTTGAAGACTTTATTGCATGTGAGCCCCTCCATTTGGACTTCAGTAAGCCAAGCCAACATATTTCATGTTCAGAATGCACACTGTCCACTGAGGTGGACATGTAATAAAATATTTGTAAATTATAAAATTTTACAAAAAATATTTGTTGAAATTTGTTTCATTCACACCTAAAGATGAATGAAAAAGAATTGTTAAAAAAAATCATGGTTGAAGATTTCATAATTCATGCATCAGAGGGTTAAAGTTAAAACTATTTGCGTTTTGCACTACGTGCACATTTCACATGCTTTACTCAGAACAACCTCTGATGACGCCACTGCCCAGTCCAGGGATGCCTTGGATCTCTGTCACGTTGTTCTGGATGAAGTAGTCGTCACATTGAGCGGTACTAAGATTCCCAGGGAGGCAGAACCTGTCCCACAGCTGGCTCGGTTCTGTCACGTTCCCCCTCACCACAGTTTTAGCACACACATCAAAGCGATCCCTCACCAAAGTCCTGTTGCCCAGCATGCAAATCCTGCAGCAGCAACATGGAAAACATTTTAAATCAACACTGCCTTCACAAGTTAAGCTAAAGCTGCAAAACAAGATAAAAACAACTCTAACTCATGATGACACGTGTGATGTACGAGTACCAGCGGAAAAGAGGCAACAAGTTCTACATTCATGCGTCTCATGGTTCATGGCACATCCCGCTCAGACATTAGTTTGTTTTTAAAGCACTTACGGGAATTCTGGTGGATGAGTCATGGATTTGACTGCTCCGGCGTAGATGGAGACTATTGAAATAATAACGCAGGCCAGGAAAAGGGAGGCCAACTTGTTGACATACTTGACCCCGACGAAAACAACCACGGCCATCAGGCTGAGACAAATGGAGCCATACACTCGCATGTTGTTGAGCAAGGTGCTGTCATTTCCCAGCGGATCTGTGGAGTGAAAAATGGCCGCCTGAGGGACCAGGTATTTCTGGAGAGGACAAAGTAAAAGCTGTTTAGTGCAGATATGATTTACTCAGCGTGTCAGTCATTTACTGAAGAAAACAAAAAGTGTAAATCAATTAGACAGACGGTTCAAACATTTCCCGCTCGTATTGCACTTCTAAGACATTTGGTTACATCATCACACCCTGGAGAAACTACCTCTGCACTGGACCCACCCCCCTGGGCAGCGGTCAGCTGCAGCAGTGGCTGCGCTCGGGAACTATTTGGTGATTAAACCGTCCAATCCAACCCCTTCAAGTTGAGTGTCAAGCAGGGAGGCACTGGGTCACATTTTTGAGTCTTTGGTGTGACCCGACCAAGATATGAACCCCGATCTCCCAGAGCGGATACTCTACCACTAGGCCACTGAGAAGGTATATTACCTATTTATAATACCTGCAGTCAAAATTACAATTCTTAATTTACTTCTTCAATGATCTTCTCAGTTAGTGGGCCTCTTTCTTCAGCTGGACGCTGGAAGTGTTACACCAACGTTAGGAAAAGCAATCCCTTATAGATGACTTATGTTAAACTTCTGGCCTTCATGTATGACCAAGGACAAGCTTTATGATTGTTAAATTGTTATAATATTACTTATAAAGCTGGATGGATCGTCACAGTTTTATGTAAAATATTGTGAAAATTTGACTGATAAAACCAAACAACACATCATGTAGTAACTAAATGGTTTTACTTCAGGCATCTTTGAGTTGTTTGTGGCCGCCGTGTGTTTCCTCTCTGTAAGTTTCTAGGACTGACTTTCTTAAGTTAGGAACATTTGATGTAGAGTAAGCTCGTGTGTTTCCTGCTGCTTGGTGGAAATAACTCCTGAAAAGCCTCGAGTCGATCAAATGTTTTATTAGGATTGATCGGTAAAAATCACATTTCTCCTAATTTAGTTTCTGGACATTGTGTCTTGATAAAATCTGTAAAAAAGGCTTTTTTCTCTCACTAAGCTCTTATTAACCACACTCTATCTAGAAGAGTCTGAACAGGCTGTGCTCAGACGGCAGCTTTAAGCGTGGCTCCGGGAGGAGGGGCAGCAACATCAGGCTCCGCGTTTCAAATCCAAACTCTGTTTTCTGTACTCAGGGCTTCAGTTGTAAGCTGTTTCTGTCATGATTGTGTTCTGGTCCTGATTTGTCATCCACCAACTGTAAGGACGTTATTAAAATTCCCCACACTACTCTAATATTGAGTCCACATGAATAGAAGTATTGGATAAACTGATAAGGTTTGATTTGGAAAACTCTTTTTTTCATAATGTGAACAAATTCCCTAAAATTAAAGTTAGAAATAAATCGGTTGTTGTCACACTTTTGAGTAATTTCACATTCATGGCAGAGGGACGAACTTTTCATCAGAATTATGAGGCAATTGAGAATTAAATCACCAAGAGAAACTAAAAGTTAATCGACTGACCAAGAAGATTTCAATGGCTCCCAGTATGTACATGGCAGAAGCAAATGTGGTGCCCAAGTAGAAGCACAGACCCACGGCTCCTCCAAACTCAGGGCCGAGGGAGCGGGAGATCATGAAATAGGCTCCTCCAGCTGCAGCAGACAAGAAAAAATACACCATTACTTATTATAAACATGGTGCAAAGGTGTGCTGGACTTAGAAACTATACAACTAAGGGGTTTAGTTTTGTACTTTAGAAGTGGAAAATAAAGCTAAATAAACCACTAGTGTGTGGTTTCAATGATTTCTACTAGCTTAGAGGAGTATTTTCTCTCAGCAACACAAAGTTAAAGTCATATTCCTAAAGTAGGTAATAATAATGAGTAAAGAATAGATCAGATGAGACTTTTACAATGAAGAAAGACCGTGACTGTCTGGCGTTACCTGGAACAACACCGTTGGTGGCGATGGCGCTCATGGATATGGCTGTCAACATGGTCTGGATCGGAAAGAACAAAACAGGGGGGTGGGGTAAATCTATAAGATCTCACTAAAGTCAAACGTGGCGGAGACCTGTCATACTGACACAAGAGCAGCACATGATGACAATCAGGAGGGACTGGATGATGCCGGCCATTCCCACGATCCACGTCAGCCGCAGGAACAGAATGACCCCGAAGATGTTCTGGAGGCACGGCAGGTACACCCCCATCAGGGTGCCCATGTTGGGAGACTGACAGACGGGAGAGAGAGTACGGCAGACTTCTGAGCACGCCATTTCAGGAAACAAGTGTAGCAATCGTTAGTATTGATTAGTGCACTTTTTAAAGGTCGCTCAATCATGTTATCAGCACTTTGCATGTATCCAGGTCCTACGTAGGCACAGACTAGCAGCCCAGTCCCCAATGTCAGGAGCAATCCATCAGCAAGCTCTAATAATGTGGATGAGGAAGCATGCAGAGAGTCGGCAGCGGAGTCTCGTGTTTCCAAATGTCTAAAGTCCGAGAGCCAATATGCATCAAGCATAATAATAAGTTCTGCACAGACTGCTGACCTTGGGGGTCTTACGACGTGAGGTCTCAGCGCTCTCCTCCTCCTCGTGCTCCTTGGCCCCCTGAGTGATGCTGGTGTAGCTGACCAAGCGGCTGAGTAGAGACGACACCTTCGGCCGGATGTCCAGCTCTTCCTGGGAGCACAGCAGGAGCAGATGAAGGTCACTTTCGGGCGGATTAGAAGGAAATATTGTAAAGTACAAATAGCAGACCTCGAACAGAGCCAGGTTTCTGTCGTAGAAGTCATTTCTTTTGCCATCTGAGTCGGGACTGCTGAGGAAAGGACTGTCTTCTTTATGATTCCCGTGTCCTGTTGGGGAGCAGAAGAAACGCAAGCTTCAAGAGAACGAATGAGGAAAAATCAGAACTGACTTTGAGGAAAACGCCTGACAACATAAAGGGTTTACAACTATCAAAAATATTAAAAGACAAAACGTGTTATTGGACCATGTGAAGCACGGAGTCCAATCAAAAAGGTCATTAGCTATTAAAGTTTACATCAGATAAGGTCACTTCCTGGTCTCTTCTCCAGAACCCTTTTGTCTAAATAAGGAACAAAAATAAACTCTGAAATCCTTTGGATGAATGAGATGAAATAAAACATAAATGACTCAAGAGAACAAAAAATAAAATAAAATAAACACTCCTGGTTTCTTCTGATGTCCTTTTCTAGCTTTAAAAAGCATTTTCTTTTTTTCTAATTCCAATTAAAAGATCTTAACAGTGTCTGTTTAGCAGAAACCATTCACCCGGTGAAGCTGGAGGAAAAATAATGACAGTAAAGCAGAATGAATAAAGCAAAGTCCAGATAATAAGCAGGGATGTAATTACGCTTTCATTTACTTCAGCTTTTGAGGAAAAACAGATAAGCAGACCTCCTGGGACAACAGAAAACAGACACACACACACACACACACACACACACACACCTCATTACAGTGAATTACCTAACCTCAAATTATTAGAGCATGTAAACTTCATCAGCAGCATCTTGAAGCCTAACGTCCTGCAAAACAACACTCTTAACTCACGGCGTGCTGCATGACCTCCAGCAGAGGTCCTGACTCACCTGAGCCTCGGGTCCCACTGCTGCTAATAAGGCTGCGGGGAAGCATGGCTCTGTGCAGCGTGCACCACGACACTCAGTGCTCTGGCTTGGGGAATTGTCGATTACAATCCGGGACAGCAGGTCACCCGTGGTGAAAACTCATTCAGGGCTCTGATTTAGCACATGGTGTACAGGGAGGGGGGTGATGCCCACTCATGGACAGGCACACATATGTGCACGTTTGTGTTTTCCATGATTTAGTTGGTCGTGTTGGTAAACTTCCTGTACCCGTTTCTGATCCATGGCTGATGTGGTTCTCATGCTGGTTTTCTGGTGATTTATCAGACCCACGCACATTCATTTAAATGTATTTACTAAGAACATTCCTCTAATATGAAAGCTTCACAGATTTAAGTGATGAAACCGTCAACAAACTTGTAATATTTTGTGTCAGTAAAAATAAATTTACTTTTCAAAAAGACTAAAGTAATGTAACAGTAACATTACCTTTTCTTTGTCTAATCTTTTGCAAATAAATAAAAAACAATCTGACAAAATGTGTCATTGATATCTCTTTGCTTGCAGACACAACTCAACACTGCCCTCTAGCGTCCCTTCAGCATATTGGCAGTGATCATATCTGAGTAATAATATGCAGATGGGGGGGGGGGGGGGGGGTCACTGTCATTGTATTGTTTAAGGACATCTCAAACCTAGTCAGACTGATTTTGTAGTTTTTTTAATGCACACAGTTTTATTGAAACAAGACTTTAAATATTGATGATGAGAGCAGAGGCTTGGATGAAAGGTCCGGTGGCAAAAAGATTCTTTTTAAATCTAATCAAGAGGTAAAACTCCCACTGAGTCTTTTTTTTTTTTTCAAAACAAAAGTGTTTGTAGATATTTGTTTCATGTTAAATAACAAAAGACCTGACTGCTCAGAATTTTCTCTGAGGTCATCCCTCGGCTCTTTTTAAAGGGGATTTGAACATCAGGTTGTTTTTCATAAGCTCCTTTAAAAAAGCCTCTTCGCTCAAACTCCTCTTTAGCTAACATTTAGGATCTAGCACAGCAGGGAGAGGTCAAAGGTCAGGGATTTAAATGACGACACACCCTTAGAGGTTAGGTAGCATTAGAGGTTAGGTGTGTGTGTGTGTGTGTGTGTGTGTGTGTGTGTGTGTGTGTGCATGTGTGTGTGCGTGTGTGGGTTTGTGTGTGTGTGCGTGCATGCGCGTTTGCGCGGGCATGCGTGTGCGTGTGTGTTTGCGTGTGTGTGTGCGTGCATACGTGGGTGCGTACGTGCACGTGCGTGCGTGCATGTGTGCGTGTGTGTGTGTGTGTATGTGTGTGTGTGTGTGTGTGTGTGTGTGCGCGCATTTGTGTGTGTGTGCGTGCGTGCGCGTTTACGCGGGCGTGCGGGCAAGCGCGTGTGTGTGCGTATGTACATGTGCGTGTGTGTGTATGTGTGCGTGTGTGTGTGTGTGGTTTATGTTTACAGGAGCTGAGATTCAGTTTTAAAAGTCGGTCCCTGATCACAAAGATAGACGACTGAAGGAAAGTTTAACAGAATTAAATATCTACAACTTTCTTCACCATTACATCATATAACGATTTTCCTTTGATAACACAGAATGACCTTAAAACACAGATTTCTGCAGCACTGGAACTGTGTTGAGCAAACGTGCAACAGTTGCCTGGCAGAAACTAAGAGATCGAAGCTGAATTCAGCTCATTACAACAATATGTGCTTGTAAAATGTTGCTCCAAAGTCACACACACACACACACACACACACACACACACACACACACGCGCGCACACGCACACGCACACGCACACACACACACAGATCAATACATTGTCTGGATTTTCTTAGCAAGCTGCAAAAAGAAATTAGCTCTAAAACAAAAAAATCATATTTGAGAATTGCACCAGAGTGGAAACTGGTGCAGACAGGATGACCGTCGTTTAGTAGAAACATCAAGAGCTCAGAATCAGTAAATGTTATTTACACCAGTATAACCAGTAAATGTTATTTACACCAGTATAACCAGTACAAGTTATTTACACCAGTATAACCAGTAAAGGTCATTCCCAGCAGTATAAATCAGAACAGAGGGACTCTAACCCGCTGTGACTTACAGCAAATCATGTTGACTCTGATTTGCAGTAATGATGAGAAAAAGATGGCGGCACCTCCTGATTTCATTAGGAGGTAAAGGCGACCCGTTACTCTAACACATTCCAAAAGGTGTGTGTGTGTGTGTGTGTGTGTGTGTGTGTGTGTGTGTGTGTGTGTGTGTGTGTGTGTGTGTGTGTGTGTGTGTGTGTGTGTGTGTGTGTGTGTGTGTGTGTGTGTGTGCACCCATTACCAGTAAATCTGATGAAGGGAAACTTTTATGTGTTTGATTAGCTGTGACTTATTAGTCATTCACTGTCCTGACAGAGGTGGAAAGAGTACTAAAATTTCCTACTTAAGTACGAGTTCCAATACTTTGATAATTTTTTACTCAATTACAAGTAAAAGTACTTGCCTAAATTTTTACTCAAGTAAAAGTAAAAAGTATCGTAAACAAAATGTACTCAAAGTAAAAGTTACTTAGTTACATTTTTGTCAGCGTAAGGATGGCTACATCTAAGTAGTGCTAAATCACAACGCCAGTTCACAATTCGCTCGTGTGTGTATGTGTGTGCGCGCACACACATACACACACGCTCAGCTTGAAGGAGGGATTTCTATCCAATCAGTGAGAACAGGACGTGCACATTGATTGGACGAGGTTTTTTTAGGATGGTAAGTTTCAATTGTGATTAAAATTATTCTTTATTTTGAGAAAAAATAATTTTTTAGATGTCATCAGTGTGTGAGGTATCTCAATGTCCTCATGACAAAACTAACATGAGACTGTGCTCTAACCTGTCACATAACAAGCCTAATGCAGTCAAACATCTCAGATGGACCGTATGACAGCTGCTAACGTTGGCCCTGCCCTACTTTACCTCTACATTACAGTTCCTTCATCCGTGTCCATCCTAGAGCTCCTCTCTGACCTTCATGCTTATTTAGAACAGCTGATTTTTAAAGTTAGCAGAGTTCATCCTTGGTGGTGGGTTCACTCACTCATTTAACCCTTCACCACTGAAATCAGTTTGTTCATTCCAATCCTCCTAAATAATCCTCCAATCATCCAGCTGGAATCCTTAAGGGTCCCGTAACGTCCATCCTGTCAGAACAGGCCTTGGGAGCCCAGGTGTTACTAGAACTAACGGTGTCTCCTCACCAGCGTGAGCCTCCAATCTGTGAAGGTTGGCCTCCAAACATGAACTTCAAATTTATGCATTTATCTCCTCTTGTAACACTTTAACCTGTTTTAAAAGGCTTGTATCATGATAAGTTACACCTCCCAGACCAAAGATAGGTCCAATATAAGATAAAATATTATCATAAACACTGCAGAGACGTCATTATTTATGAAATAGAAGTTATTTTCCTGAGCCATTACTTCAGCCAAGATATAGGATGCATGGATTTGATGAAGCCATGCTGTCTTATGCAGTCCCACACACACACACACACGCGTGTGCGCACACACACACACACACACACACACACACACACACACACACACACACACACACACACACACACACACACACACACTGCAGCATGTTAGAATCATTTGAATGACTAATTTAACTACACTGAACTGCTTTAGTAATAATTTAATCTCTTATTCTGGAGTAAAATAAAGAAACAAGCTAAATCATCACATATCTGTGGCATCAAGGAGCATCTTCTGAGTTCAAACACAGGGATGGAGCACAATGTTTACACCTGAACAGTATCAGGATGTTTTAACTCAGAGGCCTGCGGGTCTTCTGTTTTATGAGCACAGCACTGATAATCCGCTTGTTATGAGCGCTAAACGTTATTTTGCCACTTCCGTGCGGAGCGGTAGGAGAACACATTTCAAAACCGAGTCTGGCTACCGAACCGAGCAGAATTCTGTTAACGTCACACAGGTGCGCGAAGGTGCGTGTTCCAAGGTTCCAACCCACAGGAGAGGAGGGAGAGAGGAGGTGAACAGCGAGTTGAGGAACTGAACTGATGTCTTTGAGCTAAAGTGTACACCCCCACGGTTTAGACGCGGCGCTCATGCAGGTGTCTCTTTCCGTTCCGACGCTGCTACACGTAATATTTTTAATTTATTAAGCCTATAATTTATTTTTACTCAGTAACGGATATGATTTAAAATGTAGCGAATTACAATTCTTTTTTAAAAACGCATTCAAGTAAAAGTAAAAGTACAGCTTTTAAAAACGACTTAAAAAGTATATACAAAAAAGCTACTCAATTACTGTAACGTGAGTAAATGTAATTTGTTACTTTCCACCTCTGTGTCCTGACGAATGCTTTCTGAAGTTTCACTACTTTCTGTTTAGTGGTTTGAGGAATTTTGTCCTCAACGCAAGACCATCTTCAGGCGTTTCTAAATAAATAAACAACACTATGATTCCCCGTTTAAAACTGCATTATTTTCCAGACTGGTTCCTTTGACACGTCCCTACGAGAACTTGAGGAGAAAAGAGAAGGTGCCTAAAGTTTAGAGCATGTGTTTGTTTGGCAACAGAGGAGCAAAACCGACCGGATAAGGTCCAGCTCTCCGACCGCCCTGCTGGTGCTGCCCTGAGCTGAACAGAGCCGAGTTCAGAGCCTGGAACAAACTCCCCTCTGTCACGTCCATCACACACGTCACACACTCTGGATGAAACACACACCTTCACACACTCTGGACGAAACACACACGTCACACACTCTGGACGAAACACACACGTCACACACTCTGGACGAAACACACACTCGTCACACACTCTGGATGAAACACACACCCGTCACACACTCTGGATGAAACACACACCTCCACACACTCTGGATGAAACATACACCACCACACACTCTGGATGAAACACACACCCGTCACACACTCTGGATGAAACACACACCTCCACACACTCTGGATGAAACATACACCACCACACACTCTGGATGAAACACACACCCGTCACACACTCTGGATGAAACACACACCGTCACACACTCTGGATGAAACACACACCGTCACACACTCTGGATGAAACACACACCTCCACACACTCTGGATGAAACACACACCTCCACACACTCTGGATGAAACCATCGACATAAATATACTGGACAATTCCTTTCCATAGACTCTAATATCACGTTTTTGAGGCCAAATGGGAGGTGGCCACCACCGCCATTTTGACCGTGTCACAGGTTCCGTCAAGCCCAGACAATTCCAAAAAAGGGAAGAGAGGTGGAGCTGAGGGTGGGGCTGTAAGGCTGGGATCAACTGACGACACCCGGTCGAACTAGCTACAAGATAACCTGAAGCTAACCCAAAGCTAACGCGGGGGTGGGAGCTAAGCTAATGGAGGTAGCAACCTAGCTACAACCGGAGTTAACTGTGCACAACACCAGAGCTTCTGAGTCAGAGATACGCCGGGCTGACCGCTGGGTAAAACCGGGTGGAACACAGAGGTCTCCGAGACCTCCACAAGCCAGCAGCCGCACAGCAGACAAGCGCCGCTGCGATCTGAGATGCACAGAGCTGCCGCTGGGGAGAACCGGGTGGAAAGGTTTCCATCCCAGAGCTCCACAAGCCGTCAGCCCGTGCAGCAGACAGAAGCCACGATCAGACAGAGATGCGCCGAGCTGCGGGGAGAACCAGCCGTCAGCCCGCCGCAGCAAACAGAAGCCGTGAAGCCAGGGGAGAACCGGGTGGAAAACATCGGTGTCCCGAGAGCTCCACAAGCCGATAGTTCGAACCCAGCTCCACCAACATGTTATATTTCAACCCATTTTCTAAAGTGCAGCATTATGTTAAATGCACTGGGTTTTACCCTATTACATTTAAATGTCATGGTTAAACAGTACATGTTAAAATCTAAGCTCAGCTCGGCAGTGACCTAAAATACATAAATATAATTTTACTTACCGAAAAAAATGAAGTGGAGACTCCTTGGACGCTCTATTAGTGCAATTAATGCCACAGCAAGTCATTTTGTCCAACAATTGCACAAAAAATATCCAAAACAGAATACACATGTGACAGTGTGAGTGTCCTGTCACAGTGTCCCGATTGATCATGCGCCCTGGCTACTTGGCCAAGGGGATGCCCCTTTGGCTGACTGGTTAGAGCAGTATGACTCTCACCCGGGAGTCTGTGGATCGAATCCCGCCCGGGTCCTCGTTTATCCACCTTGCCACACACAAACACAGAGACTCAAAATCCCGGAACAGTTTCCAAGCCAGACCGAGGCTCTACTGAGGCCTTTCCCCGGAGCTAGCTCTGTGGTCACGTGGGTCTGATGCTCATAATTATACAGAATTTTAGGCTTTTAATACACTTAAACAGAAGAGTGAGAAAAAAATTCACCCCCCTCAGAGTTGTCATGAGTGTAAACTAGATCATTTAAACCAAAAACATGTTTTGGTACCAGGCTGTAAACATGTTTATTTCTGCTGTGAAATTGATATTTTTAACATGGGAGTCAATGAGGATTTGCTCGCTTCTGACACCAGCCCCTAGTGGATGAGGGTGGAACTGCAATTTATTTCATTTCCGGGTTTGACTCAATTTTAGAGCTGCATTGTGGGGGCTTGGATGAAACACAAACCTTCACACACTCTGGATGAAACACACACCGTCACACACTCTGGATGAAACACACACCTTCACACACTCTGGATGAAACACATTTTTAAATATTTAATGCTTCTACCCACCAGCACTGATTATGACTGGGTCTGTTTATCTTTAGGGACTATTATTACCAGAAAGCGGTGCTTGTTTGGATGGATGGACGTAAATTATGAGTTTTTTAAATCCACATGGAAGATTGGACGTTCTGAATCAACGCTCAGCAGAAGTGAGCTCTTAAGTCTATCAGGCTGACAAATGACTGATTTGCTTCATCTCTGATAATTACTCAGCTGTTCCTGAAGCAAATGTTGAAATGAGTCTTTTGGGGCTCACGTGAAGTTATTTTGTGAGTTTAGCTATGATACGTGTGAGCAGAAGTTGCTTTTCTGCCGAGTTAGCAGATTTATTGGCTGCAACACGAAACGTTTGTTAGCCAACAGCTGGATCAACAAGTGCAAAGACTTTCCTCCAGCTTTGAGACACACGTGTCACTTCATCAGCATTTGAACCTCCTGCTCTGTGTTCTTCGTGCCTCCGGCGACTAACTCACATTTATAACTCATCATTCTCTGCCCAGCCCTGCCTGGGGAGTGGCCGTGATTTCTGAAACACACCCACGTCAAAAAAAGAAGTCTGTTTGATTTTCTCAGCCCACATAAACAAGCCGCTTACAGAAACCAGAACCTACTCTTTAAGGTCCTGCTGTTGTTGCTGCCCTGGCCTCTGAGAGGTGGCCAGCTCTCTCTCTCTTTATGCTGATCCAGGGAAGAACCTCAAGTGACAGCTGGGACATGCTGAGGCACAGACATGATGGGAATAGTATGTGTGGGTCGTGAGCTGCTGTCTGTGTGAAAGAGAACCCCCTCAGCACAAAGAAAGCTTCTTCTTTTGTGCACAGAGCGACTCGAGGCCCTCTTTTGTAGCGGCACCGGCCCCTCCAACACCACTCCACACCCGGAGTGTTTGTCCCACTGCTTCACCCTTTTTATTGTCTCATTATCCTAAACTTCAGGAATGCCACAGGAGGGAAAAGATGGTTTCCAACTTTTAACAAACGGGACCTGACAACAGCAGACCTGCTCGAAGAAGAAGACACTTTCTGGCCCTGAATTATTGCCATGGTAACCATTCAACCAGATGTTTAGAAGACTTTCGAGTCAAACCCATCTTACTCAGGCTGATGGTTGTAGTTTGTGAAGGAAGAGAAACTGAAGAAAACTCAGTGTGAACATCTCCAAAGATTCCACGTTGCATCCTGAGATGAAAATCTGTGTGAAGGTCTCAGACTCACCATCAGAACTAACCGTGTCCTGCTGGTCAAAGCTGTCCTGTCCAGTGTCCCTGTAATCAACCCAGTTGATCCCCTCCAGGCTGTCGTAGCTGGCCTGAGTTTGGTCCTTCACGGGCACGACTGTGAAGTGAGGCATGTTTTCATCACTTTCCTCTGCGTCCTCAGCTCTAACTCAGCTTAGCAGGCTAGCTGTTAGCAACTCCCACTGAAGGCAACTACATTCCACTTCACTGCGCTCATTTCCTCCGGAGGGCATTACCATACTGCCCGCCCACAAGCCCGCCTGGTTTTTAGTGTGTGTGTGTGTGTGTGTGTGTGTGTGTGTGTGTGTGTGTGTGTGTGTGTGTGTGTGTGTGTGAACTGAATGGGTAGGTTATGAGGGTTTGTCTGGAAAGATACCCATCCCTCTCCCACCCCACCCCAGGAGGAGGGACATGTGGAGCTGTGTTAGTGCTGAAGAGTAAAGTGACCCCCTTCCTGATGTCAGAATGACAGCAAACAGAGCAGTTTCTGTGTGTGCAAGGTTCACACAGGCTTACGTGTGTGTGTGTGTGTGTGTGTGTGCGTGCGTGCGTGTCTGTGTGTGTCAGCAGGCCGGTGAGAGATGAACACAGAAAGTTCAGCCTTTCCTTTCCAAGTGTGATTGCCGGTCTATAATAATAAAACAGCTGATCAAAGGCCGCCTAACCAGAAGCTGTTTTTAGACAACCTATTTCGGTGAGTTAGAAACACGCTGTTCATTCCTGTTGGAAAGACTTTCTACTTCATTTAAGTCCTTCATTTTCTACTAAAGTAAAACTAAATATGTAAAATATTCAAATATAAACACGGCAGGAACTTCCAAAACCGTGGATGTGTTCGTTGAAAATAAAGAATGGTCTGTATTTGATATAGCGCCTTCTAGAGTTCTGGAACCCCCCAAGGCGCTTTACAACACAACCAGTCATTCACCCATTCACACACACATTCACACACTGGTGGGGATGAGCTACATCATAGCCACAGCTGCCCTGGGGCGCACTGACAGAAGCAAGGTTGCCGAGCACTGGCACCACCGGTCCCTCCGACCACCACCAGCAGGCAACGTGGGTTAAGTGTCTTGCCCAAGGACACAACGACAGCAACAGACTGAGCGGGGCTCGAACCGGCAACCTTCCGATTACAAGGTGAGGACTTAACTCCTGTGCCACCGTCGCCCCAGAAAACAACATGTTTCTGTTTGTTTTGTTTTTTTTATGTCCGATGATGAAATATGGCTTTTAAAGAAAATGCTGAACCTTCATTCGGCACGCCTCTAAACGCCCCATAGAGGTCTTTATTAGAAAATATAAAGATGTTTATAAAATTGTTCCATATTCAACCTTTAAGTGTTAAATCTTTTTAAACTCGGATGTAACACGAGTACTTTATTTTCCAGACTTGGATGTGCAATGCACAAGGAGCCCCATTCACCATACAAGGACGTCTCCCAACCCATGAAGAGTTGTGTGCAGGTCAGCGAGCAGCAGGAAGGCAGGGACTGCCTCACTCACTTCTCCCATCACGATTACTCAGTCTTGTGTAAGGATCTGTAGGCGGGAGGGGCGAGTCCGGGAACGGGTGAGGCCCTGAGAGGTCAGCTTGTTCACAGCAGAGGAACTGAGAGGCGAGGAAAACATTGTGATAGGAGCTTCGACAGCTACCAACGCTGCTTCTCAGTAATACCACCTTCTCTTAGTGGCAGAGTGTCCGCCAGGGGGGACTGGCCTATCTGGCATTCTGGCACTGTCCCGGTGGGCCACTTAGTCAACACAAACTAGAGACTAGTCTGCGAGCAGCACACACACCAAGCAAATTGCCCCACCCACCCATCCCACATTCAACAGCATCCACACACCCCCCACTTCTGAGAGCCGACGGTTCGTAAAAATGCCATAGCTGAATTTCTGTCCCAGTCCACCACTGTTGTCCACCCTGGGACTTCAGATCTGAGCTCATATTCAGATGGTCCCTGCTCCCTGGTTCTGCATCTTAGGTTCTGTCTGGTTCGGGTAGACCTTGGCCTCAGTAGTACCTCTGTATTGTCCTTCAGTCCACGGTTTGATGGTGTGATGGTTCTTCCTCCTCCTCCTCCTTCACAAAGTTGTTTACCCAGATTGTTGTTTCCTCCCATTGGGTCGCTAACCTCCCTCACAATGTTTGACAACCTTCCCCAGATGTGTCAGTAAAAGATCTCAGGGGCTCTACCAGATGTTCCCAGGCTTGCCCAGCAGCTGCCGACCGTGAGTGAATTTTAAGGGAGATCTAACAAGTGACTATGTCATCAAGAGGAGCTTTGTTCTGTTCCACAGCTACCAAGTGTGAGGGTTTGTTTCCATTGTGCCTGGTCATGATGGTTAAACTCTGCAGACCCAACCGTGATGAAGTTTACAGAGAAGCAAAACAAAACTAAGAAAAAATGATCTCAGATTTCAAAAAAGCATCTAAAAGGCGGAGCCACTTACTGCTTTTATTGATCTTATTTGTTGTTTGAAGAAAAGGGATTTTGTGGAAAATCGACATTGAAAGAACTCAAAGTTTAACTACGTAATCAGTGTGTCAAACTGAAGTCTGGAAGCTTCTAAAACATCTGTACCAATCCCTGATTAAGTTTAATACTGACATATATTCTAGTAATAAGCAAACACTTAAGTTTCTGCTCCTCATTTTCACTTTATTATTTATTCATCACTTTAAATAATAAAAACATGTGAAGTACAGTGTCAGTGCTGCTAAATAGAAAAAACACAGTTTATTATAAAAGATCAAGTAATGATTGAAATGCAGTGACGTGTACCTACGCCTGCTCCTACTCCTTCCTGAAGGGCAGGTTTGACACTTACCTGTGATCCATAAGTAGCAGTGTTACCATTAATGCCTAATACAGTTGGTGCTGATGTGTCGAACACCTGTAGTTACTAATATCACTCACTAGGTGGCAGCATTGACCAGTCCAAACAATAAAAGGTTGATAATCCATAAGTGATCTCTTCTCAGACTTCATGAAATGTCAAACTGCAGTTTTCTAGATGATGTTTAGTTATAAATAAGGTATACCACAGAGGAAAAAAAAAGGTTTATTTTAAAAACGAATACAATAATTCTCAAACTCTTTTATTTTGAAGTATTATGGAGGTGGCTTTTCTTCACAAAACAAGTCATGAATTATGATGAAGGGATTGTGTTTCTTTTTTTAAATTCAGATGAAACAGAATGATCTAATGAATGTAAACTATCGACATCTACATTTGCTTCTTCTTAGGAAAGAAAATGAAGGGCGTATTTTGTAAGAATTATGGCAGTCCGTTCTGGCATAATTTGTGCAAATGTGATGTAAACCTTTCACCTTTTAGTGCACTGCTCCGCTGTTATTGAAACCAGAGAAACTAAAGGTGTGGTTCACTGAATAAACATGTTTTATGTTGATTTCTGATTCTAACAGGTCACTCTGAGTTTTTCATGCAGGCTGAACATGAAAATAGTCTCCTACACCTATGTCCCACATTAACTTCTGATAGAAAACAGACGGTGAAACTCTAGGATTGGAAAATCCTGACAGATCTACGTCACACTGTCACTAACATTCATGGACTCACCCATCTGGACTCACGACGGGGAAGGCTGTTGTTAGTTTAGCATCTAGGAAACGACAGAGCACATCTCAGCTAGTAGAAGCTAACTGTTAGCATTAGCAACTCCATCACACTGCAGAACTCCTCCAGACATAAAGGAGTCCATATGTGCTCTTGGCACCAGGATACCTTAGGCCGCAGCTCAATGATCGACTTTGTTGTTGTTTCATCTGACCTGTGGCTGCGGGTCTTGGACACTCGGGTGGAGAGAGGGGCGGAGCTGTCAACTGACCACTACCTGGTGGTGAGTTGGCTCAGATGGTGGGGGAGGATGCCAGTCAGACCAGGCAGTAGGGCTGTCGCGGTTGAGGAATTCCCCCTGCGGTGATTCAGGGTGGCTTAATATTGCGGTGTGCGATATGATTGCAGCACTTTTTTTTATTGCAGTGCTATCTAAACATAATGCTTACACATTTAAAAACGGTTAAAAATTACCATGCCTTCTTTTATAACACTTTACTGAATGCAGATCAAAGGGCAGTAACAACACAGATCGCAGTAACGTTTGTTTCTCCGCCAGCCGAAGTCCGACTGAACTTAAAAACAACAAAATTCAGGAGAAGGTTAAACTTTTAAATGCAAGTTTGGCTGCAGCATCTAACAAATAAGAAACAAGTCCCCATTTTGTTTAATTGTTTAAAATCAAGCCTGAAAAATTACATGTACCGGGCGCGGGGGGTGGGGGTGGGGGGGGGGCTGCTATCATTTCAATTTCACACACACGAAGCAGGGACCTGAAAAGGCTCAACAGCGTAATAACAAAGGCTGGTTCTGTTCTGGGGACGACTGTGGAACCGCTGGAGGAGATAACGCAAAGAAGGATTCTCCAGAGAATCAAGAACATGATGGACAACCCTGAGCATTCTCTTCACAAGACTGTCCGACAACGGAAGAGTGTCTTCAGTCAGAGGCTTCTTCAGTTTGGCTGCAACACTGACCGCTACTGGAGATCCTTCCTGCCAACAGCCATTGTAATATACAACAACTCTTTGATGACTTGATTATTATTATTATTCTGAGCTACTACAGCCATCAATTTCCCTCTGGGATTAATAAAGTATTTTTGAATTGAATTGAATTGAATTGAATGACGGTGATTTATAGATCGGTCACGTCCTTGTTACCCACAAGGAAAACCAGCATGTTAACCATATACGGTTTGAGAGAGGATCTGAGAGGGGTGGCAACATTTCCAGCAACACTGAAAACCCTCTCGGATGGTGCGCTCGTTGCACTAACGCACACGTACTTGCGTGCGACTGGCGAGCAAAGGGAATCTCTCCCGGTTGTTGCTCCACCATGTCAGGGGGGTTCTTTAGGGTGGATGCATTCCTCCTGCAGGTAGCGAGTGAGCTCCAGCTCAGCTCAAAATCTCTTCAGGACAGTTGCAGAAGCAGTGCTTGTCCGGTACTTCAGCAGGTCTCCGAGCGTTTATTATTATTTTTTTGCCGCTGGTGGCAGCTCTGTCTCGGCCAAGGACTCTGGCTGTGCAGCAGCTGATGTACTGAAAACCAAAGTGCTCCCAAAGGAGCAAAGTAACATTTCGTTTTGATACCAGTGCAGTCATCCTTCTCAACATGCATCATTGAGTTGAATCAAGTTCGGTAATCGTGGTGGCCCA